GGCAGGCGATCTTTTCCACGAGAACAAACCATCGCGCAAGTCCATGTACCAAGTTATGCGCTCCATTCGCATGAACTGTCTAGGCGATAAGCCTTGCGAACTGGAAATGCTTAGTGATGCGAGCGAAAACTTTCAAGGTGCTTTCAACCACGTAAACTACGAGGATCTGGATATCAACGTGGCTATCCCCATTTTCTCAATCCATGGCAATCATGATGACCCGTCCGGAGAGGGACATCTGGCTGCATTGGACCTGCTTCAGGTGTCTGGGTTAATAAACTACTATGGACGGACACCCGAGTCGGACAATATCCAGATCAAGCCGGTTTTGCTCCAGAAAGGACGCACAAAACTTGCTCTCTACGGTATGAGCAACGTCCGCGATGAACGTCTATTCCGCACATTCCGAGACGGCAAGGTCAAGTTCTACCAGCCCTCGATTCAGAAAGACGACTGGTTCAACTTGATGTCCGTCCATCAGAACCATTACGCACATACCGAGACAGGCTATCTACCCGAGAATTTCCTCCCGGAATTCTTAGACCTCGTCATCTGGGGCCACGAACACGAGTGTCTGATCAACCCGCGACTGAACCCCGAGACCAAGTTTCACGTCATGCAGCCCGGCTCATCAGTCGCGACATCCTTGGTTCCTGGCGAGTCAGTGGCCAAACATGTAGCCATTCTCAGCATCACGGGCCGGGAGTTCAAATGCGAGCCCATCCGTCTCAAGTCCGTACGCCCATTCGCCATGCGCGAGATCATCCTCTCCGAAGAGAAAGGCGCACAAAAGCTTGCCCGCAAGGACAACAACCGCACAGAAGTAACCCGCCTTCTCATGGAGATCGTCGAAGAACTCATCGAAGAAGCGAAAACGGAATGGCTAGAAATGCAAGACGAGACCGCAGAAGACGAAGAGCTAGAAGTCCCACTACCACTAGTGCGACTGCGCGTTGAAACATCCACGCCAGAAGGAGGCAGTTATGACTGCGAAAACCCACAGCGGTTCTCCAACCGCTTCGTAGGCAAAGTCGCCAACGTGAACGACGTCGTCCAATTCTACCGCAAGAAGAAAAACACCAACAGCACGCGCAAACCGGGAGAAGCCGACCTCGACGAGACAGCAGTCTCACATCTCTCCACCCTCGACACCGTCAAAGTCGAACAACTAGTGCGCGACTTCCTCTCCGCACAATCTCTCACCATCCTCCCACAAAACTCCTTCGGCGACGCAGTCGCCCAATTCATCGACAAAGACGACAAACACGCCTTGGAAATGTTCGTCAACGAGTCCCTCGAAAGCCAAATGAAGCACCTACTAGCCCTAGATCGCGACAACGATCTAGAGGAAGAAGAGGAAGTAGCAGAAAGCTCCCTACAAAAAGCCATGGAGAGATATCGCACCCAAATGGAAGATATGTTCTCCCGCGGCATCAAGAAACGCACCCGCGGCAAGAAGCGCTTCAAACCCAAGCCCGACGGCTGGGATACCGAATTCGACGGTGTCTGGGAGGACCAACCCGGTGCTCTCATCCACTCCGACAACGAGGATGGAGACCCAAACGAAGACGTAGCCGGCGAGGATGGCGCCGAAGCACCCACCACATCACGAACAACATCATCCACACGCGGCCGCGGCCGAGGCCGTGGCGGTAGAGCCACCACCACTGCCACTACCGCTACAACCCGCAAAACCGCCACCACAAAAGCAGCACCTACTACTACTTCGAGGAAAACCACCACATCATCTGCATCTACCAAGACCCGCAAACGCCGCCCCGTCTCCTCCGACGAAGAAGACGAACAAGAGGACGTCATAATGCTCGACGACGATGACGATGACAACGACAACGCAGCCCCCAACATCGACGAGGATGAGGACGACGACGACGACGATGAAGACTCCCTCTTCGTCAAACAACCCGCCAAACCAGCCACCACTAGATCCCGCAGAACGACGACAGCAACAGCTCCAGCAAAAGCAACAAAAACAAACAGCACGAGCCAACGCCGCAAAGCCCCATCCCCAGCACCATCATCCAACACAGTTGGAGGAACGGCACAAGCTACGCGAAAAACTCGGGGCAAGCAAGCAACCCAGACGACGCTGAATTTCGTGGGATCGCAGAGTAGTGTGCGTGGGACGGCGGGGTCTGGGCGATCGACGAGGGCGACGAGGGCGGCGAGTGAGGATATTGAGGATGATAGTGATGCGTTTGAGCCGATGGCTAGTAGTGCGAGGCGGAGATAGATGGGTGTATTTAATGGGGGTCGGGGGAGAAGGGGTCAGCATGGTATGAAATGTTGGTTTAGCTGTTGCATTTATGGCGTCGAATGATAATGGTTTTTATATAGAAGGGCTAGTTATGAGATACCACATATCGCTAGTAAGTTCAGTTCGGACGCATTAGAATACGTGGGAGTAGTAAAGACTCTACTGGTAATATTCGATCTACTCTTAACCAATTCCCTCCATCACGAACTGAAGTTCCTGTCTTCAGTATAATCTACAACTTCCCCCTCTCCAAAAATTTAACCGGCAAATCGACATGTCTGGCCCTGAGAAACTCCGCAACATTCTTCCCCAGAAAGTCCACCGTCGTAGTGACACCCACCCCTCTATCCAACAAATTCCTGAATAGAAAGTGTACAGCCCTCAAATTCTGCAACTCGAACCTCTCAACCCTCAGCTCCGGATTGGCAGTATACTTCTCTCCCAGGAGTTCCCTGATCCCCGACACGGACAACAATGACCGTAGCCAGCGGTACTCGTCTGCATGACGGACCCAGAACCCGCAGTTCGCGTCGGGGCCCTTGTCGCCAGACCGGGCGTGGACGATCCAGCCCAAAGGGCCACGGATGGTGGGGCCGAAGTCTAGAGTGGGGTTGTCGGTGAGGGACCGGGAGGGTTGGCGGGATGGGTAAGATTTTGTTATTGGAGGGGGTGGGATAGTGAGGGTTTGGTGGAGCCAGGGGAGGTGGACTTGATGGTTGATGTCGGATTGGGGCAGGAGGGTGACGTGGTATTCGTAGACGGGACGAGGGAAGCCCTGACGGGTGTCAAGATGGAAAGTGGCCCCCGGGTAGCCTTGCATGATGGTGTCGACGATGGAGCGGAGGAAGTGCATTGGGGAGAGGTCTTCTGCTTGGCGGGCTTGGGCGACGATGCGGAGGCAGACGGTGGCGCTGTCTTGGTTGTCGGGGTTTTCAGGGGCAGAGCCGAGGGTTGAGAATTGGAGGCTGGTGAATTTGGGGGTATATGGTGAGAGGAGTCGGCGGATTTGGGATTCCAGCATGCGTGCCTTGGATGGGATGTCGAGGCCTACGAGGAAGTAGATCGCTTCCGCTTGGAAGCCTCCGCGGGCTGTGATGCCGACTTTGGTAGTTGGGGGTGGTGGTCCGGAGCGGACCCCGTGAAGGGCGACGCGGTTGGGGCTGACTTGCTCGAAGTGGATGTCGTTCAAGATGGCAGTTACGTCGGAGTTGAAGTACCATGGGCCTTGGATCTCATATAGGAGCTGCGATGAGCAGGTGTCGATGGTGACGGCGCCTCCGCGCGCGTAGGATTGCATGGTAATGATTACTTTACCCTCCGGGGAGATCTCCGCAATGGGATATCCGATGTTGGACCAGCCGTCAGGACCAATGTGTTCTAGGGCCTTGAAGCCGGTAAAGTTGCCGCCACAGACATAGTTGCTGCATTCGATGAGATGACCGGCTACGAATGCGTTGGCTAGCTGATCAAGGTCAGTACGGTTCCAGCCATGGAACCAGTACGCCGCTCCAATGACTGGGGACGCATCGGAGACTCGTCCGCAGAGTACGATATCAGCTCCTTGGGCTAGAGCGGCGGCGATTCCGAGTCCTCCCAAGTAGCACTGGGCAAATATAGGCTCGAAAGGCCAATCGGAGAGGGATTCGCCGGTATAGATATTGGCGAAGGCTGACTTGCCCGACGACAATGCAGCTTTGACGGTGGACAGGACTTGGTCTCCGGAGACCCAAGCTACCTGGAATTATGTGAGCATGGCTTCTTCAGAGGTCATCTTGAGGTCGACCTTGAGGTTCAGTCCTTTTGCTTCCACCATCTGCTTGACCGCGTTGTAGAGGCCCTCTGTGTCCGTGTTTCCTGCATTCACCGCCACTTTGATGCCGTATTTTGCCAGGTCTGACAGGGCTGGGTCCAGGGCTTGGAGAAAGCCAACTTCATAGCCTGGTGCCTCGATCGTCGAGGATCCATGTGTGCCTTGTGCTTTACGCTGCTGCTGTTCTACTGTACGAGCCGCTGATGCCACCATATTCGCCTCGCTCATGTAGTCAGCAATGATCACATCGACTGGATCTTGAGGATAATTGCGAGCGAACTCGGCGATGGCATGGCGACGGTCAGCATTGGACCCAGAGGCTCCTACTCAGTTTGGTCAGTGAACTATAAACAGTATTGGAGCGTCTCAAGTAGGCCGACGTACCAGCTATACGGACCGAGCGTTGGGCCATGATAGTATATATGTGATTTTACCGCTAAATTAGAATTGATCTGAATATTGAACGAGAATCAGCGAGAGTATCTCGTCCGGTTATGAACAGTGTTTATATAGATAGCACTTCCAGAGTTTATTGCCCAGGTAGCCAGTTCCATGGAACAGAGGGAAGGTAGGACATAGTGCGAGCTCCTCTCCAGCGAGATGCCGAGGACATTCGGTTGTCTGGGACGATGATGCGGGGATCTGCTTTCACCTGCCGCATTGCGGTCGGATCGACCGGCACGAGAAGAGGATGAACAACCTAAGTGAAATTGAGTTACGCAGGCATAGTGATCAACAAGTCGCATTAATGCACCACTATGCGGGAGCGACCAGTTGAAAGAAGCTCGTCCAAGCAGCAGAGAGGAAGGAAAGTCTAAGTCACATGTCGGATTAGATGAGCGATCACGCCACCAGGCCAGCTCCAAGTGGTTACAAGCAACAGACCCTTCAGTTCTGTCACAGTTCATACTACATTTACACGTATCCTGCCCATTGCAGGAAAGCCATAGAAATAAACAACAACAGAATGGAGGTTTTGACCATCTCGATCTCGTCTCTGTGACGACGAGTCCAGTTGCCCAACTGCTTCAACCAGACAAGCTGATGGTTATCCTTTAGCGCAGTGTGTAGTCCAGGTAGCCCGTCCAGACTTCGTACGTTCCACTCCTTCTGATATGTGCGAAGCTCATTGGACTCGACTCTTTTGCCTGTCCAATGGCCTAGGGTATCGCGATCTTGGAGATACGGCTTGGTGTTGTTGGTTTCGGGGTCGACTTGCAGGGACAATCGCGGGACACCATAACCACAAGAGCGTTGGACCTGTAGCTCATCACATGCATCGCATCAGTTGTTAGCATTGGATCTTGCTCGCGGCAATAAGCTAGAGGCGCTTCCAAGAGGAGTCGGGGAGAGAACCTTGAAGACATTCAGACGGATGATAGCCCGCGCTCCCACCACTTTCTTGCCTCCCATCCGCTCGAGGTAGCCAGGGAACTCAGGCTCATCGTACTCGATCACAGATCCAGTGCAGAAGAAGCGCACGATGCCTGGCGAGGCATCAAATGAGCAGAACATGATGGTAAGTCGACCGTTCTCACGCACATGGCTGATGGTCTCACTCCCGGAGCCGGTGGCATCAACATAAGCTGCCTCGTTAGGACCAAGGATGGCGAAAGACGAGTCAGGAAATCCTTTGGGCGACACATTTACATGTCGTCCTTGCAGAGGTGCAGAGGCCACGAAAAAGACGCTTTGGCGCAAAGCCCAGTCTCGAAGCTCTGGGGTAATTGACGGCCAGAAAGTTGGCATTTTACGTTAGCAGTGAAATGGATATTCGACAGTCAGAAGCGAATCAAGAGAGCAGCAGGTTGCAGCACAGTAGCAAGAGGGGATGTGTGAAGCTAGGGGCTTCTTATAGGCGCGTAGTCGGCAGTGACAAAGACCAGTAACAGGGATGAGTCAGGCTGCTGTCCTACTTCAAGTCTTTGTCCTTATTCGCAGAACTGTAACAGAATTAAGTTAATAACTTGCACACCTTAATAGCAGTGACTGACACCATTCGGTCGGGGGCTGCATGCACTCAGGCCACCCATTGATTTCATGCCGGGGAGAGGTGGCCAGACTCCAGAGTATTCCAACCCCGCCGATCGGCACTGATAACGCGGTGTTGTTGTACTTTGTAGCATTGCATTGCAGCACAACAACACATACCATCCATGAGTCACTTGATAGTAGTAATTGCTCCTGGATTTCGCTCTGTTAAGCATTCTTTCCGGTGTCTCTTCCGGTGAACCGAATGGGTTCACAACAAATTGAACCGGCAGTCTAATGTCTTTCAGTGCGCGTTCAAAGGCCTCGAAAAGACGTCTTCTATATTATGATAGAAGAACTTCCTTCACCATCAACAGTGCCATGAGCACCTGTATAGAACATTAAAACGTCTGTCCTACCAGAAGAGCCCTTCAGAATGAAAGGATATCCCCAAATAAATTTAGGGCAAGTAAGCAACAAGTCCACGGAGGAGTACTATCCCGAGGTTGTTTTTATGGCAGTTGTCGGTGCCAGGCCCATCAAGCTTCATTCAGAGGAAAGGTCAGGCAAAAACACACTGGCGGGATTCGCTGCGGTTTGGTGAGATGAGAAGAGTCTTAACCTCCCGCCGGTATTAATCAACCCGAAGCTCCCCAGATTCGCTTCTTCGGGAAAGATCGCAATCGGTATGAGAAGAGCAAAAGCCGAGGCTGGATCCGGCAGGTACAAGCCAAAGCAAACCCCACGAGGGGCACGTAAGCGGGCGCTACGGAGTAGAACCGGAGATAAGAGATGAACTGTGTAAGCTGCAGGACTAGACTAGACTGCATGCAACTAATCAGTCCCTTGAGAGAAGACAAGATTCTATCGAACAGTTTTTCGTAGTTGCTACCTACTTGATTGGGCCGGGATTTGGTGATTTGATCATGATAAAAGCTCACTAGACTAGATCACGCATTGCCATGGCAGCGGGATCTCCATAGATCTTGCCGTTTCAGATAGAGACTTGGTCAGAGTGAACAACGGAATGTTTCTAATAAATTGACATTTCGTAGTAATATGGATAGGGTTGGTTGGAGATAAGTGGGGGAGCAGTTTCTGGGCTGAACACTCAACCCAATTCGTAGTCTATAGGCAACGGAAATATGCGTTGGGGTACCTTGGGAGGGGTGTTGTAACTTGTAACAACTCGCCCGAGACGGGCAAGGAGGTCTTAGATCGCTGCCCAGTAGTAAACGGTCCAGCGTATCAGCCGACCACCCCCAGGTTTGAATCCTTACCAGCTCGGGCTAAACTCCCGCCCGTCGCAGCAACAGCAGGCGAAGGTGTCATTGTGACTAAACCTCAACGGTAACCCGCTAGTGACTTGGCACTAGTGGATGGGTCATTTTGCTTGAGACTAATCAGACTAATGCCTCGGGATCTCTCAGCTTTTTGTCGCATTCCCCTCTTTTTCTGTTTGTTCATCTTACCTTCAGAGTTTGAGGAGTAAGATTATGAGATCTCACTGGTCAGTGTCCAATTGGACTATACAGGGATGTTTAATAAATGCGTGAACTACTTACTATCCAAGTACGAGATGTACGGCTGACTAAAATGTTGCAGCTTGCAGGTCAACAAACTAGCTCCAAGAGACTAGATCCCACTTGGTCCCCGCCACTCACACCGAGGTGGAGGGGTTCCGGAAATACGAAAAAGAGCTTGCTCCAATGCTCCATAGCTGTGAGTAATATTTCCCTAGTGAGTTACAAAAAGGAGATGATTGATAACTCACTAACCGGTTGCCTAGCTACTAGCCTCTTATTCTCCCGTCCGCCAAAGGTCCTTCATTCCTCTTCGGTATGATGTAAGAGGAAACTAGATATAACCATGTCAAACCAAGACTACTAAGGATAACCATCCCCTCCACTACCAACGCCACAGGGTCTCTTGAAGAATGAATAACTACATACTACCAAGTGAATGGCTGACACCAAGAGGGGGACCTGGATGGTGGTGGTGGTGACCAGAAAAAGCCATGGATAACGAAACCCCGCACGATCGCTGGCGATTGTTGGATAAAGAGTGGAGAAACGGGCTGGCATGTGGGAATCCCGACTTTTCAGGTTCCCATCATTGCCCTGGTCCTTATTATGCTTTACCGCGATATAATAATATGATGGCCACTATAGGGGTCTCGGGAGTACGTAGGTTAACTCGCTGTGGGTTTTCGGTCTCAAGGAGCTTGGTCTCTCCAATCGGAGCATGCAGAAGAGGGGGTGGCTATCCGCGGAGAGATTCAGATGAGGTAAATGGCAATGGATGAGACCCGGAATTCCTCCCATGGATCCGACTAGACCAGTCCAGCTGGACTAACTAGTCTGTTCTAAACCCGGTGGACGAGGATGATCTCCGCTGGCGTTTCCCCCTCGCGCCTCGCCAGCTTCCCCTCCCTTCAACCATCAGCCATCAACCACTTACTTCTCTCTCACTTTCTGTCTACCCTCTCCCCCCACTCCTACCTACCCCACCACTAGTAACTCAACTTCCTGTCTCCTTTATTAATTGATAGTTCTCCCCTCCCCCGCTCTCCTCTCTTCTTCTCTTCCCTCTCTCTTTCTTCTCTAACCACATCTCATCTCCCCATCTCTCATCATGTCTGACCTCTACGCTACCATCACGACCCCTAACGGCGTCAAGTATGAACAGCCTCTGGGCTTGTATGTCACCCCGCGTTCCATCCCCTCGATATTGCTTTGGGTAGAGGGTTAACCACTGTTTACTTTACAGGTTCATTGACGGCGAATTCGTCAAGGGTGCCGATGGCAAGACTTTCGAGACCATCAACCCCGCCACCGAGAAGCCCATTGTCTCCGTCTATGAGGCCTCGGAGAAGGATGTGGACACCGCCGTTGCTGCTGCTCGCAAGGCCTTCGAGGGCGAATGGCGCCAAGTCACTCCTTCCACCCGTGGCCGCATGCTGACCAAGCTCGCCGACCTTTTCGAGCGTGATGCCGAGATCCTGGTGGCCATCGAAGCCCTGGACAATGGCAAGTCTGTCACCATGGCCAAGGGTGATATCGCTGCCGCTGCCGGTTGCCTGCGCTACTATGGTGGCTGGGCCGACAAGATCCATGGTCAGACCATCGACACCAACTCTGAGACCCTGAACTACACTCGCCACGAACCCATCGGTGTCTGCGGACAGATCATCCCCTGGAACTTCCCCTTGCTGATGTGGTCCTGGAAGATCGGTCCTGCCATCGCTACCGGTAACACTGTTGTCCTCAAGACTGCCGAGCAGACTCCTCTGTCCGGTCTCTATGCTGCCAAGCTGGTCAAGGAGGCAGGCATCCCCGCCGGTGTGGTTAACGTCATCTCCGGTTTCGGTCGTGTTGCCGGTTCCGCCATCTCTCACCACATGGACATCGACAAGGTCGCTTTCACTGGCTCCACCCTTGTTGGTCGTACTATCCTCCAGGCCGCCGCCAAGAGTAACCTCAAGAAGGTGACCCTCGAGTTGGGTGGCAAGTCCCCCAACATTGTCTTCAATGATGCCGACATTGACAACGCTATCTCCTGGGCCAACTTCGGTATCTTCTACAACCACGGTCAGTGCTGCTGCGCTGGTTCCCGTATCCTGGTTCAGGAAGGCATCTACGACAAGTTCATTGCGCGTCTCAAGGAGCGTGCTCTGCAGAACAAGGTCGGTGACCCCTTCGCCCAGGACACCTTCCAGGGTCCCCAGGTTTCAAAGCTCCAGTTCGACCGCATCATGGAGTACATCCAGCACGGTAAGGATGCTGGTGCTACCGTTGCCGTCGGTGGTGAGCGTCACGGCACCGAGGGTTACTTCATCCAGCCTACCGTCTTCACCGACGTCACCTCCGACATGAAGATCAACCAGGAGGAGATCTTCGGCCCCGTCGTCACTGTTCAGAAATTCAAGGATGTTGAGGATGCTATCAAGATCGGCAACAGCACTTCTTATGGTGAGTCCTTCCGGTATCAAATTGCTGCGATGCCAAGTGCTAATTTTATGTCCTAGGTCTTGCTGCCGGTATCCACACCAAGGATGTCACCACCGCCATCCGTGTTTCCAACGCTCTCCGTGCTGGGTAAGTCACCATCACTACTACATGAATCGAATCCACTCGCTAACAAGCACATAGAACTGTCTGGGTCAACAGCTACAACATGCTCTCCTACCAGGTTCCTTTCGGAGGATTCAAGGAGTCCGGTATTGGCCGCGAGCTCGGCTCGTACGCCCTTGAGAACTACACCCAGATCAAGGCCGTCCACTACCGTCTGGGCGATTCTCTCTTCTAATTTAATTATTGACATCGTGAGAAAATTGGGAGAGCTCGCTTCGGCGACGAGCTCGTGGATCTTGGGTTAGCTTCTACGCAGATAGCCATGACTGGTTCATGTAAAACAACTAGGATACGAATTTACGATGATTACAAATTGTTACATTGCAGTTACTGTAGACTTCAACATATAATTTTGTCTCAAACATTACCCCACGTAATCATAATACTACTAGCTATAGTCACTCGGTAGTTTCAATCTGCAAATTCACTAATATTTCTCCGCCACTCTAGGCTCAAATCAATCAGGCCATTGCATACCATACCCATGGTTGCACACATGATTACCCCCCGGGACAACCACCGGCGAAGTCGCGTCTCGGGACAATCACTACGCCGAGAAGAGAGACCCCCCTCGGTCGAAGATGGCCCGAAGCGAGGACATTCATCAACCAAACCAATACACAAAGAGGCTATGTCATCAGTAGCTATCCAGTTACCACTAGAGCTAGTTTTGTTTTTCAGTACTTCATTCATAAACTGGTTTGGTTATTCGCTGGTAGTGGACTGGTACTCGAAAACCATACATTTGAGATTTCATTGGAATTCGGTAGATCGCATTATTTACATTCCATTTCGTTGTTACTCTGCTAAGGCTCTTCCACTACATACTATAGCGAATTATCTATCATCATTGTATGAATAACATTCGCTGCATGAGGTTCAGGTTGGGTGGTAATAAAAGAGGCTATCGCAATTTCTTATCCTTCTCGAAGTAATCCTTCACTTGGGCCGCGAAACTGTTGTCAGTTAGGACCTTGAGTCCGGCCACAGCCATACCCTTGCCCACTGACATGGCGATATCATGAGCTTCTTCGGTCTTTGCTGCATCGCGGAACGCCTCGGTGTGCATGGCTGTTCCGGGGGGTGTGGGGATGAAGAAGTGGCCGTGGAAGGAGGGGACTTCGTAGCTTATGTTACCTTTAGTTGTATTTGTTTCTAGTTAGTAACGAGAATGGAAGCTTGGCTGTATGCTGAAGGGAGAGGGGGGTGTTGTGTGCATACCCATATCTGTGCTGAATGCACCGATATCCTTCTTTTGTAGATCGCAGTAGTAGTCCATACCCTTGGAACCCATGTATCGGGTAAACTCTGTACAGAGGCTCTCGTTGGGTCGGATGTCTGCGTAGGGGTCCATTCTGTTTCACTGTTAGTTCAGCTATCTTTCAGAGAGGATAAGAAGACTAGTCCATACGCTGGAACAATATCAACCTCACAACCCGTAGCCAACGCCGCGCCTTTCATGCAATTCTCAACGCGCTCCCGCAGAGCATTCATCTCTTTCAACGTCTCAGACCGAACATTTACTCGAATCTGCGCCTTATCCGGAATGATATTGTGAGCGGTCCCTCCTTCCGGGATGATAATGTTGATCCGATCACTAGGCCTGATATGCTGTCTCAGCAAACCAACAGCCTGATACGCCAGTGTTGCCGCATCAAGAGCATTCACACCCGCCCAGGGCATCTGAGCCGCGTGCGCAGGCTTCCCTGTAAAGTTAGCTAGAAACCCAGTCGCCGCTAAACAGGAGCCGAATGCGATACCCGCAGAGCCCGCAGGCATATGAAGAAATTGGGGTGTGGGATGGCTCATTAACGAGGCGGTTGTGCCCTTCAGGGCGCCCGCTTCGATCAACTTGATTTTACCACCGCCGCCTTCTTCAGCGGGGGTCCCTAGAAGACGCACTTTTCCTGGGATTCCGGTTCGCTCCATCAGGGCAGCGAGACCTAGGAATGAGGCGATGGAGGAGATGGCGATGAGGTTGTGGCCGCATCCGTGACCTATCTCTGGGAGTGCGTCGTATTCGGCGCAGAAGTCGACTACTTCTCCGTCTCCGTCGCCGTATTCGGCGAGGAAGGAGGTTTCGAGGCCGTATGCTTTGGGGATTACTGTTATACCATATGAACCTAAGGCTTTTAGGTAGTTGCAGATTGCATCGTGGGCCTTGTGCTCTCCGTAGCACAGCTCTGGGTTTTGGTGAATCTGGACTGTAGTTAGTACAAAATATAGGGTATAAAGAAGGATTTTCCATGCCTTGAGACTCAGCTCACGAAGACTTGCGCTGAACGTATCAATAGTTTGTGCGATTGTTTCTTCCATTGCTGTTTGCGAAGCCATTGCGCGTCCTGTCTTTCAGCCTTGATGTTGGTGTGTTGGTGACAACAGGCAGTTTGAATGTTGGATACTAATTAGGTGGTATCTTCCGTCCGACCGATATTTTGTAAAAAGTCTCATTCAAAGGAGTCTTGCTGGAGAGAGGTATTTCGAAGAAGGTAGATGTGCGGGAGAAGGAAGATCAGCGAGAGGGGTTCGAAAAGGATTGTCTGGGGAACTGGTATATCATTGGACCGGCGTTTGACATGCAGCAAATCGCCGATTGAACATTCAGCACTTGGGATCTACTAACTATTATTAGTACTATTCATCAAATTCCCGCCTGGCATGGCTCTTACATTTCCCCGCTAAAACTATGGAGGCACTTGGTCTGAGCGTACTAGTATACTCCAACTTCAGCGTGATTCGCCGCAAACCAAGAAGTCTCCAGGATGGGAGATGACATTGGCAAGTAATGTCTGCTGCTGCGCAATGGCTCAAATCTTTGACTAGATCCCAGGTTGCTTCGACTAGGTCTCTATCTCTCAGGGGAAAGTCATCCTGCTAAGCCGATCTTGCGGAACATTGCCGGAAAACATGATTGCCAACTACCACTCCAGGTTACACCGTACGGAGGGCAATGTAATTGTTCCATAATACTCTTATAGCCACGATAACCGACTTGCGGCTGTCTAAATGGATCTTGCCTTCGGCAAATAGCCTCTAAGCCTTTCGTCCCCAAAAGAACGCATCCGGATCCTTGTCTCGAGATGTCAGTCTTCTAGGAGTTGACCTCCTTCGATATCTCCCGTTCCTCATTGATGCCCATCTGTCGTTGCACGAGCAAGTGGTGCGAGGTCTGCAGCTGTTACATGGGCACCCACCTGAGCTCATATAACCAGCCCCTTTCGTGTCCACTAGTGGCATTGGCTTCGAAGTCAACGACCATCTCGTCAGCAGCAGTCCCCGCACCCTAAACGGCGTCGTTTGTCTCATTTTCCGATGCTCCAAACCACCAAGCGAGATGGCCATCTCACCAGACCTCCTTTGCACTATTGTTACCATACTCCAAAGTCTCATTACGGTCACCCTCATTGCCAGAACGCCTCGGAGCTCCTTCATACGTTGGATATGCCTCCCTTCAATAACCTACATGGCCTACATCGAAGGCGTTCTGATCAGAATGACCGACCACCATACCTACGCCAAAGTCACTCTTAGTGGCATGCCATTCACCGTACTCATCCAACATATAAACCTGCTTCTAGTTGCCAGAGTCGATCTGACAAGGCAACCGGGTACGATTGTCAGGAAACTTGCGTCTGCTTCCGCAATACTCCAGTCTACCCGTGGTATTGGCACGCCCTGGCAGGTAAAGAATATTCCCAGTCATCCACTTGTGCTTCGTGCAAAACCACCCAGCCGAGGCTATTTCATGAGCAGGCAGCTGGCGATTGCCATATGGGAAGTTCTTGCCCTGGTTCTCGTGCTCTCATCGTTAGCTACCCATGGTGTGCAGGATTACGATGGGTCATACCTATACGGATCCGGCCGCGAATTCGAGATGGCAAGTTCTAGCATGAAGCAGCTTCTCGGGCGTGTCACAGTCGCATTTCTTTTCGGACTCCCCGGATCGATGCTCTTCCTGGACTCTATGTACCGGGTGGCGTCTCTAATATCAGTAGCGACGGGAATGACAACAATCGCTTCGTGGCCCCCGGAGTTTGGGAGCCTGGCCAACACGTATACTGTTCGCGGTTTCTGGGGGTAAGCTCGCATCTAGTCCTTCATATAATTCTTGCGTCTCGAAGTGAAATAGTTCTCGCTGACATATAACGACCCAGCAAATTCTGGCATCAAAATCTCCGTTGGTCATACACTGGTGTTTCAACAGCAATCACCTGCCGTATCCTCGGTCTTCCCAAGCCCTCCTTGATAGAACGCTATCTCAACCTGACCATCGTCTTCATCCTGTCCGGCTTGATGCATGTATTCACAAATGTGATCAGTGGAATTGAAGGTGGAAACACCGGCGCCATGTTGTTTTTCGTCGCACAAGCCGGTGCCATCATGTTTGAGGACGCCGTCCAACACTACTGGGCTATCTTGTCACGAGGAGAGAAAAGCACTTCAGCTGAAACACCCATCTGGCAGCGGTGCGTTGGTTTCATGTGGGTATTTTGCTGGTTGGGTGCAACATTTCCCTGGTGGTGGTATCCTATCATCCGGATGCTGGTGGCGTATGACTGGACTGGGGTGTTGGAGGTCGTTCAGGGTTTGGGAATGACCAAGTCTAACCTTTCTGTTGTGGTGACTGTTGGTGCGGTCATTTTGCGTATAGTGTTTGGTGCTGAGATCTGAGGTTGGATATCCAGTCTGGTGTCGAAACTGAGATTGGTCCGACTGGGGTTGCATGTCATTAGCATCAGTTGGGATAAGTTGAACGCGGTGCGATGGTCCACTCAGGGACATGGCTCTTATCAGGCTGCCGTTGTTTTGTATCAGAAAGTTTGTCCATCGAATCTTTCATAATCGGAATAGGAACCAATATTGTACTATGGTAAGTCAGTGGAGATCGTTAGGTGTAGGAAGTTATGCAACGCTCAAACACACTACTCATGCATGTAATCCGTTTCAGACGAAGCTTACAACCCATACAAAGAACCCAATCATACCCAATCAGGAAACCCTGTTTTCACAATTGTTGGTACGGAGCAGAGTATGCCCGTGTGCGAGGCTAGTCACATTTTAAGGAAACACCTGCTGTCTAGAGACCGGTTTATACAATCTTTGCCATTGAGTAACCCTGCATAGGGGGATGTCCAGCCCAACTGTTGTTATGCTTTGGTGCAACCTTGCTGACAACCTGAGAATTAAGTCAGTCATACAGAAGGTCATTCCTAGGCCTAGTACCTCCCACCTAGAACAAGCATCTGTCTACTGCTGCCATTAAGCTCATCCGAACCTGCTCCTGTCACTAATCGGATGTGCCATTATTACTCTATGAGGCAACAAGCTACCTTCCCGTTACACGATAGTGCAAGGCACACTCACACGCGGTGATCAAACAAGGGGCCGTTTCCCTCCAGTTTAACTGGCAGGCCTGATGGTGCTGATCAGGTTCGAGAAAAGGAGTTGACCACGGATCCGGGGAATGGTATGTCACCCATGTGGCTCGTATCCACTTCTGATTCCTGTGAAAGCCTTGTTGAGCTGACGCAGATAGTAGATCCGGATGTGCTGGACTAAGATCCCCGAGGCAGATGTGTAGGTTTTCTCATGTTCAGCGCATGTTGTGGCCGACATATAGGCGATCAATTCCTGGAATTCGTCCCTTGAGTTTTCCATGTCAATACCACTTAACGCAACTAAGTCAGCCCGATGAGTAGGTACCTTAGCAGCTCTCTACTCTCTTCTCTCTGCTCTCTGAGCCAACTTCCTCCTCGCAAGGTTTTCTGGTGTGAGTTTTCGCCCCAAACGAAACACTTCCCCTGAGAGGACAACATCTGATGTCAGCTGGGACACGGAACGATCTGCTCCCTAATGTGATGTGTCTGGACCGGTGGGCTCTGCCACATGGCTATGTTGTAGAATAATCGCTTCTGGATCGGCTGAAGCGGAAATGAAGTTGGATCGTCTCTGGGGGCGGAAGTTGAAGGTGGAAGGGAGGCTTTGCGAGAGAACTTCATCCGTCGTTCTTTTTGGCCCCTTCTCCAACTCTCTTCTCTCCCGTTGCCTCTTTGGACATTTTCTCAACACGTCCACCAAAATTTATTCGCTATGCGAATTTTTTCTGCTCAGAGTGAGTCTGATACTCAAATTTGCTTCTAAGCTGGGGAGTCACTAACTATTTCTCAGTGTCGCGCTCGTCGCAATCCGGGTTCCTCGCAGATTCTGACGCGATTTGGCCCCAACGCCATCGCGAACTAGTTTCTCCAAGCACACAAGTGCTCCAGCGACCGTGTTGTTGTGTTGCCTTTCTCAGTCAACATGCTCCAAACACTGCCACGACCCCTGCTAGCTGATCCTCCGTCAGCATAGCACTTGTGCTTGCCTGTGCCCCGGTTGCCTGGTCATTGGTTGGGCTATGCTCTCACAGGCACCTTTTTCATGGCCAGGTTCTAGCTTCTAGGCTTGCTGATACCGCAGGTTCGCGTGGGCCCTGTGACTAAATTCAAAACATTATGGACCCAAGCCGATGGCTTTCAGGATTCAAGCCCTGGTGGGCTTGCGTATCAGTCGAAACCGGGTCCCAGGGGTATGTCATCCGCAGGCTGCGACGTATATCACCCTTGTCCGTCCTCCCCAAACTATTATGACCTTTTTTCTGGACCTTTCTGGACCTATAGCGGTGATTCTACATGATCGCCCTGCATACCATGTCCGACTATACCTCGGGTCCCTATGCACCCATTCGCTGCAGATCTCCAATAGCCCCTCCACGCGCCCCGTTCAGCAACCCACAAGGCATAAAGTCAGTGGACAGCCTCGCCTCCTCCAGGTCTACTCTTTATTTTCTCCCAAACGACATTCTTGAGGATCACACTGAAGATAGCGCGGGTCGCACCCAACAAAAGCAATTGAAAATGCCGGCCCCAGACGTCGACGACAAACTACTCCTCGCGGGATTGGAAACGACATGGGACTCAGCAGACAGATTGGCTGTGCCACATCTACACATACCCAAGACAAGAGCCGATGAATATGGCCCACCCAGCCCATGCTATTCATACACATCTAGCGCGAGTTCTGCGACGCGCTCGCCATCAGCGTCCGAGTGGAGGTTCAAGCCACTACCCCCCGTTCCTGGAGTAAGTGGCAATGCGCATTCGAGAGTATCTGGTAGATCAAGTGGCGGGCAAAGCTCTCTCAGAGAGTCCCCTACGAGCTATACGCCCCAGCCGTTAGCACTCCGGCCCACGACGCCCCGTCCTATAACTCCTGTATCTTCGACGTCCAGACCAACCACACCTCAACCTCATGCAGCGCCCTATGGTGCGGTTCCTCGGCCTACAACGCCACGTCCTCTGACGCCAGTGTCTTCGACATCCAGACCTACAACACCTCTTCCCCCAGCAGCACCCTTCGCTGCGACATCGCGGCCTATGACACCCCCGTCTATGACTTACCGACCAGCAACCCCTCGACCTACCACCCCCAGACCGGTGACTCCTCTACCTACCATTCAGCCCTCCACGCCCCGATCTACAGCGGCCCGTCCCACCACTCCGCGACCTATAGTGGCTTTTCCGGATACAGGCGCGGCCTCGAACCTTAGGTATGAGAATGCGCCAGGGTATATCGGCTCTTCAGCGGCCGGGAAAGGGCCCAGGGATGCTCCTGAGTGGCCGCAAGTATTTGGTATCAAAGCTGAACAATTGCCGCCCGCCCCCAACAATCAGGGCTACGGTCATAAGCCGAAACCCTCAAGTCCGACGGACCTGCATGTCCAGCAGAAGCAGCCTGTGAAGAAGACGTCAAAGCAGGAACTGAAGCCAGAAAGTGACGAAAAGCCCCTGTGGCAGTCATTGAAGGCAGGTGTACGGCGTGTCCTAACCCGTAAAGCCGTTTCCCACGATGGTGGGGCGCTCAAGCACAGCAAAACGAAGAAGAACAAGTACCAGAATGTCCGCAGAGCATCAATCATTGTTCGCATGTCGACGATACCACCTATTCAGCGTCCACCGGAGGAGAATGGCCAGGGCTTCCTTGACGGAAATGAAGATGACGGTCACTATGAGGACGCCATAAAGCGAATGAAAAATGTCCTCGCGAGCTTGCTTGAAGATGGGTATACCATGGATATGATCCTGCAAGCAGAATCCAATCAGCAATTTCTCCGATCGCTTTTCACGCGGGTTCAGAACGAGCCACTTCTTGGTGTCGACACTGCACCTTCTAACTCACCCCCACCGACTTCACACTCCTCCCTGCCCCCGGACCACACATGCGAACTCCCTCCCCATGATTTCCATGATCCTGAGACAGTCGATCAGCCGGTTGACCAGCCGATGAGCCAGCTGTTTGACAAGCCAATTCGACGGCCTACGTTAGGTGATGACACTGAAAGCAACTGGGAATACGTTGGGTATGACGAGGATGAAGCCTTCACTGAAGGTGCACCCTCGGTGCGCTTCTTCACAGGTCCTGCGCCTGATCAAATATCAGAGCCACGCAGTTCCGTTCCGCCATTCGCCGCAGTCATGGCCGCCTTGGACGACGACCTGCAGCGCATGGTATCCAACCGATGGAGCCTCTCCAAGCCTGGCATGGAAGACATGATTTTGAATATCCTCCTCCAGATCGACGACCTGGATGACCTCTTCTCCTTCGCTCAGACCAGCAGAGCCACCTACCACGTTTTCAAGCGCCACGAGCTCCCATTGATGGAGAACACTATTAGACGCAGATCCCCTGCAGCATGGGAACTCCGTCAAATAAGTGATATCAATGAAAACACAGATTCGCAGGATCTATCCCCTGCAACGATCTACTACCGTGCAGTGACCCGCGATCTCCGCGCCCTCGCCACCCTCAAGGGCCTGATGATGACCCACTGCAGGGGAGTCATGCGCACCAGCTCATACACTGCGCTTGCCCGTCCATCAGGTCCAGAAGCCCGCCGGCTAGACAATGCCATCTGGCGCGTCTGGACCTTCTGCTTCCTCTTCGGGATGCAGACTGGCAGAGAAACAGATATGGACGGACAAGTCAGCTGGCTGCGTGGGGAAACTGGATCCCCGTTCCAGCCGTGTCCCGACCCCAAGGACGTAGCCAGCATCCTGTTCGACCCTCCGCCGGGATTCGGAGAGGGCAATGCCGGAGGCCTCTCAGTGAGCGATATGCAAGACATGGACGAGGTATGGACGTGTCTGAAGTACATGCTGGGATTCCTGCGCGGTGAGACCGAGCGTGCCCGCCGCTTCGGCGTGTTCCAGAATGCCGGCCTTTCTCAGGAGCGCAATCAGGGCATGATTGTGCTGCATGAATGGATCAATTACCTGTTATCATTGGGGCCGGAGGCCGTGGTGGAGCTGGCGCCGTTGGGACCGGACACTCATGCGGAGACTACGTTCCAGCGAGCCATGTCGCGGGGGTGGACGACGTGGTCGGCTCCCGAACCGGGGTCGACGCGAAGTGCGTTCCTGACGGATGCGCTGGGGCGGGTGTCGGGAGGATTGCGACGGTTGGAGGAGTTGCAGATGACGCTGTGGTATAGTTATGTGTGAGCTACTACTAGTTATAGACTGTTAATGAGTGATGACACATACTTGACTTCAACTATATTCTACGTAGCTTATTCTCGATCCTAGCAGTAATAGGATGGTCTTGACCATTTGGAGCTGACATGAGGCCATACAAGGACACCAAGATATATAGTAGCCGCTTTACCTAGTATTTACCCAGCACCACACAATCAACCACAGTATTATCGATAACCATGGAAACTATTTAGATAGTAAATGCCTACCACTATTAAGCTAATGCTAACCCAAAGGAATATCCCGCAATCATCCAATGGACACACCACCACATTTGTATATACCCGGGACGGAGTAACGGGACCATCCCAACCAACCACCACCACTAATCAACACACTCAAATTATTTACCCCAGGATCGCACCTCCAATACTATGGCTACTATGTACAAGGTACGATCGTCACCACTGACATCAATCTGACCATGACACCATCCCACATCAATCAACCCTGCTAAAGATAGTAAGTAGTAGTGGTAGTACTACCACCTCCTGACGTCACTTCTACGCCATCCTCCTAACCCTCTCTCTCCTACTATATCACATATCATATAAAATAATCACCACTCTACCTCTCCCTCCTACAATCCATCCTACAATTAACTACACCAACCTTCTACCCAACAGCTAAGCTACAACCAAAGAACCAAAAAAACAAAGCAACAAAATGTCCACCACAATCCCCACCACCAGCGGCACGCAACCCCTAGACCCCTACAAAGCCAAATCCCTAGACGAGGACATCCCACTCTCCCAAAAGATCACCGACCTGTCCACCTTCATCACAGAACAGAAATTCGGCATGTTGACGACAAAGTCCTCGGAGGATGATCTGCTCACGAGTCGGTGTATGGCTCTTGCTGGGAAGGTAATCCACCACCCCCTCTTACTTTCCAGAGAATAATAACAATGGAACATATAACTAATTCAAATGTAATGAATTATAGGAAAAAGGCGACACGACCCTAATCTTCCACACGAACCTCTTCAGCCACAAGACCATGGACCTAACCGCCCACCCCACAGAGACCAACATGTCCTTCCTCGACCCCATCAGCGGGTCCTGGGCGTCTATCTCCGGCACGGCGAGTATCGTGGCTGATAAGGAGACCGTCAAGAAGTATTATTCGCCGGCGTTGCAGGCGTGGTTGGGTGATTTGGGCGATGGAGTGCATGATGGTGGGCCCGAGGATCCGCGGATCGGGGTGATTAAGCTGGAGGCGAAGACCGCGGTGTATGCGGTTTCGAGGAAGGGGGTTATTGGACGGGCTGTGGAGACGGTCAAGAGTGTCGCTAGGGGGGATGTGCCCGCTGTTAATAGTATTAGGGAGGTGGGGAGGGCGGAGTTTGATGAGTGTAAGTTTTCTTCCTTTTCATTTTCTTTCAGGGTGGTTTGAGGGTTGGGGTGGTTGCTAACTGGTTGGGTTATAGGGAGACGGACGCATCCTGAGTAAGTCTGGAAGGGTTGATATGGGCTATGAGATATGATTAGTATTATGTCAGTGGTAGGACTGCAAGATAATCATTGAATTATGTGCTAGCTTCAAGCTGCAAGTAGACAAGTCCAGTCAAGTAGGACCAGTCGACAAGAGAACGAGTATGGAAACAGCACCAGGCTGAACTAACAAGTTCAATCAAGTAGACCGGTCCAACGAGACGAAGGTAAACAACTAGTGATACAAGATGTTCATACAAGATGTTCAATCAAGTAACACTTGACAAAAGAGAAACAAAAGAAACATCCCATCCGTTAACATGATTCCCAAAGCTCCAAAAGATCAATCCAGACCAGTCAATTCCAAAGGACCAGTCCATCAACCTGATTATCAATAGAACCAACCAAGTTCAACCAAGAGCACCGAAAATAAGAAATCATGTTATCGTAACTCCAAGGGTATCGTGAAAGTGACGCCCACGCCATCGCTAACGCCAATAATTCCTCAAATCTGTCATAGTTAGCATCTACCACCATATCCAATATCAGGTATGGACCTACCAATCGCAATGGCATCTTAGCCGGCAGGCGTCCATTGTGCAGCAACATCGCAATGTTCTTATTAGGAGTCGCCTGCAGCTTCCGATACGCTTCGCGAATATGTCTGGTTTCAACCGGGGTACGACCCTCCTCAGGGGGATCGAACAATCCAGTCTCGCGTGTACGCTTCTTACTGCTCTCGCCGTTCTCACCACCTCCACGACGGTTCTTCTCGCGGTCTTCCCGCTCCTTGACCTTGAGTGCTTCCTCGGTCAGAGTCTGCACGATTTCGAACGTCAAGAAACCAAGAATATCAACGATATCGTCGTTGGGCTTGGACTCAGTCACAATGCCGAATCCGGCCCACTCGCGGAACCGTTTACTCTTGCGGTAGGTGAACGAAGCCTGGCGACATTCTGACCAGAACACATACTCTTCCTTGGTCATGTTCTTGGTACGTTCATCGGCCGCGGCGAGGCGCTGGAGCGTAGCGTAGTTCTGCTCTTCCTCTTCTTCATCTTCTTCGTCCTCGCGTTCGGGAACCTGCACCGAGTAGAAGCTGTTCACGTCCCAGGCGAGACCAACGCGAGCACGCTTATTCTTGGGCTTTGACGCAACATCCTGCGGTCCTGCGACGACTCCGCCGGCGATGGGGTCATCAGCTCCTGCGAAGTCTGCAGCATCAGCGCCGCCTTTGTCGTCGGAGTCTTTGACGTTCTTGCGGACATCTTTCCAGGACAGGAACGTCTTGAGACGCGACACCTTGGCCTTGTCATGGCGAATGAGAAAGATCAAGTCATCGGTAGAGATAGATCGCACGCCGCGACGAGTCGCTAGGGCAGTGCTTCTTGCGAGCTGCAGGAGTTAGCGGAGTTCGCAACACAGGAGAGGGAGGAGCATACAATTTCGACAACTTGCTGGCGCACAATATCTTCAATGAGAGTCGTGGTCTCAACAGACGGTTCGGCAGTTTCACCAGAGACGAACATCATCTTGCGGGAGAAATTGATTAGCATTTCCTTGAACTCCTCCCTGGTATCTGCATCCATCCCCATGTACATGTCCAACGGTTCGTCGCGCGGCTGCTGCTGGACCGCTGGGGATGCTGGAATTGCTGGGACAACTGGCACCGGCGGTGCAGTCGTCATTTGGCCATCTTCCAAATGGTCCCATCCATGCCATGAGATAGTAGCATCCGAATCATACGGATCCGCAGACATGATTGGAGATAGTGCCTTCAACAACAAGCAGACTCGCAATATCCAAGTAGACCCCAGTCAAGCGAGTTGGCAAGAAGTAGAAGAGCACTTCCAGTCAGAAGATCCTTTATAGTCCATTTTTGCAAAGGAGCAAAGCACCATTGCATGCTAGGATTCACCACTTCCATGCATTACCGCTGCTTCAATGAAGCTCCGTAGATCACATCGATAAAGCGGAGCATCACTTATCACAGCAGCGACAAATAGAGCCAGCATGATACCACAAACAGACTAGACTCACGCAGCCGCAACCAACAAAAGAGAATCAAATCACAGATTCTCATAGCATCAGACCAGATAGGAAATCAGAACAGTGCTTACCTGCTGGATCTCCTGCCGATACTTGGGGGTACGATCAGTCGACATGATGCAGATTATAGGAACACTGATCGAGCATGCTCCACTGCAAATACTCTGACAAGAGGAGTCCGAATCTCAGTCTGCTCAGAATAAAGATAGGACGGATATTGACAATGTGGCATCCATTCGAAGCAGCGAAGTATGAAAGAAGGAAACAGTGCCTGGATGCTGGTTGGTGCACGTGAATCTCACACCCTCAGGTGACTGGACTGGTGCAGTGCATAAGCCGGATCATCACATGATCCGATGTCCGGCTGCCCTCCGCCGCATTTGGTGGGGGAATATCGAAAGTTTCCCGGCTGGTGGGAATATTCACAAACGCTCTTATAATTCCAATTATTTGTGGTATTTGAAATTGTACATTCACAATGCTTTACCTGGTAGGACTTGGTCTGGCTGATGAGACCGATATTACGGTCCGCGGTCTGGAGATCGTCAAGAAGGCCGAGCGTGTCTATCTGGAGGCATACACGGCCATTCTGCTCGTCGATAAGGAGAAACTAGTGAGTGTCGCCTGATGGAGTACTACAAGATATGTGTTCTAGGGTGCGGAGTTGACTAACTGGAATAAATTGGTTTAGTAGGAAGCTTTCTATGGACGTCCTGTTATCGAGGCCGACCGCGAAAAGGTCGAGAGTGGCAGCGATGAGATTCTCGCCGACGCCGACAAGGTCGATGTTGCTTTCCTCGTCGTTGGAGATCCCTTTGGGTATGTATAGTATTCACTATCCTCTGGCGCGACATCGGCATGTCATCTGACTTTCGTCAGCGCCACCACACACACAGATCTAGTCCTCCGCGCCCGCGAACTGGGCATCGAATCCAAGGTCATCCCTAACGCCTCCATCATGTCCGGTATCGGCTGCACGGGTCTGCAGCTGTACAACTTCGGCCAGACCGTCAGCATGGTCTTCTTCACTGAGAACTGGAAGCCCTCATCCTACTACGATCGGGTCAAGGAGAACGTTCAGTTGGGTCTGCACACATTGGTCCTGTTGGACATCAAGGTCAAGGAGCCGTCGCTGGAAAACATGGCTCGGGGTCGTTTGGTCTACGAGCCCCCTCGCTATATGACCGTTGCGCAATGTGCAGGTCAGATGCTGGAGACTGAGGAGGAGCGCCAGGAAGGTGTCTGGGGACCGGACAGTCTTGCTGTCGGCGCGGCGCGTGTGGGTGCTGCGGACCAGAAGCTGGTCGCCGGTACCCTGAAGGAACTGGCCGAGGTCGAGATGGGCCGGCCTCTGCACAGTCTGGTCTTGATCGGAAAGAGAGCGCACGACCTGGAGAAGGACTACATCCGGGAGTTCGCTGTCGACCAGGCCACCTTCGACGCTAGCTGGCAGAAGGGCGGATACGGTACTATGTAAAGACCGTCGCTGATGAGGAACGAAACCAAAATAGATAGATATTCATCACGCCAAAAATGAACACTGCTAATGAAACCACATGCACGAACCCAAACACCCAAACCCGCTTTCTGGTGGAAACAAAATGCTAGCAACTAGCCACGCACACGTCATAAGCCGTAGAGAGTATTGCGATATAGCCATAGCCGTGGCCATCAAGCTGTTCGCCTAGCAAACAATCGAGTCAACCGCTCGGGGAATCGCATCTATACAACCGCAATCACCGTTAGCAAAAGATTCATCATAGATCAACCAAAAGAATAACCCACCGTAGCAGAAGAAGGCGTCTCCGGCGGCGTCTGCGTCTGATCACTCTCATACTCTCCACCATCGGCATAACTTCCCTCCTCATCGTACCCATCATCGAAACTATCCCCATCTTCCTCCTCATCGTGAGGGAACCATCTCTCCGGATCGCCGTTATACACAATCCACCAGCCAATGCGCTCTCCCGCCGCATACTTGTCCCGAAACTCCGTCAAGGCCTCCATGGCGTCCTTCTCCAGCGGCTCCTCCTGGAATATGTCCTCTGGTTTCCAGCTCGTCTCGGGAGTCGGACCGACATCCTCGGGGATGGAGATGACTTTCCCACCGACGTAGGCGTATGGCTTGCTAACTGCGTCGTCGCTTGTGTCTTCGGGATCGTATTGCTCGATGAAACGGAGGTTAGGTAGGCGGGAGACGATGCTTGGTTCGGTCTTTTTGAGCGATTCCATGACCAGTTCGCTGGTTAGGGGTTGTTGGAGGTATTCGGCTGTTGCGTCTTCCAGGTTGTGGAGAACAATGTATACACGGATGCCGGTAAAGCCGGCGCGCGGCCAGCGAAAGCCGTAGAGCATGTAGACGGGCATTTTATTTTATTTAATCTGCCGTCTGCAGAGGTTTGTTGGATGGTAGTTGGTGGTAGTAGTGAGGAAGGGGGGTGTGTGTGGGGGGGGGAGGGAAATGAGGAGAGTGGGTGAAGCAAGGGAGGAGGTGCAGTTTTATGAATGAGGTGATCGGTAGTATTGTGGGGAGGAGGAGTAGTTCATATTAAGATCGGGATCTCGGCGAGGTGAGGAGAGAAGTGGAGAGAAGGATGATGAAAGAGAGAAAGAGAGAAAGACCGAGAAAAGATCGTGGGAGTCTAGGGGTTGCGCATTGCGGATTCGGGTTGGGGGAAATAGTTGGTTGCACAGCGCGGGATGGGATAGATAATATGCAGGGGAAAGAATGAAAGAGAAAAAGGCGAAAAGAGCAGAAAAAGGCAGATGATATATGCAGGGTCTCTCCGTGAGGCCGGATTCGAATGTTGGATTCTTTGTTGGTTCTCTTATTTACCACCTATCTAGAGAGGACTAATGATTTAAGGGTTGGGCTGGATTAAAAGGAGAGAAGAACTGTAGAAGAGACTATTGATTTCCAGAGATCCCAGCGAGCAGTCGGTGAAAACAATGGAAATCAATCTCATTATGCTGGTTGTCTGCAGATTCGATCTGGAAAGCTTAAAGTCAATCGGTGACCCAACGGTCAAAGCGGTCAACACCGGCAGTATGGAGTCTCGACTCGCATTGTCCGCCGGAGACACCGCGGAGAACAAGTGACGCCCCCGTTGCACTTCTGGCTTTGCTGATTTAACCCCCTCATTGGTCTCCTCCCTTGCAATTACTACTTACGGGATGGTTCTCTCATTTATTCTGGTGCAGAATCGCCAGTAAGTCATACCCCGCGTTCCCCCGGGATGCCCCATCTCCATGCATGAATTACACCCCCTAACGCAGGAACAGGGGGAAGACGCGGCTCGCGAAATGGTATGCGCCGTATAGCGTAAGTGCATCCCTACTTGGACAGATTCGAATGTCGTCTAATACTCTTAATTTATGATAGGATGAAGAAAAGGTCAAGCTAAAGGGCGAGGTTCGTTATATGCCCCTCCCGACAACTACCACCACCACCACCACTACTACTACACCCCGCCCCGGAATGATTTAATAATGTATGCTGGATAGGTCCATCGCCTGGTCGCCCCACGAGACCAGAAATACCAGTCCAATTTCGTCGAGTTCAAGCGGAGTACCAAGGTCGTCTACCGGAGATATGCGGGGTTATTCTTCTGCGCCTGCGTCGATGCAACCGACAACGAACTGGCCTACCTCGAGGCGATCCATTTCTTTGTCGAGGTGTTGGATCAGTTCTTTGGAAACGTCTGTGAGCTGGACTTGGTGTTCAACTTCTACAAGGTAAGTAAGCTATAGGGCGGTGGATGGAATCACTGGGATTGTCTGGAACCGGAAGAGAGTGGCAGACGGATGGGCTGATGGCTGTACAGGTATACGCTATTCTGGACGAGGTGTTCCTTGCAGGAGAGATTGAAGAAACAAGCAAGCAAGTCGTGTTGACAAGGTTGGAACACTTGGATAAGCTGGAATGAGGGAGATAATATTGGGGAGTATAGCAAGAAGGGAGAAGTATAAAGATCGCTTCATGGCGATACAATTGCATATATGACCACGGGATATGGTCAAGAGGAGTTAGGGGTTCATTAGGCTGATATCAAGTCTGGGCGTGTTTCTTTATATATCATTATTGCATGCGGTTGTTTCCAATGTTGTATGTGGTTGGCGACTGTTAATACCCTTTCTGGATTACCTGCATCCTACTGTCCAATCGAGTAGATTCCATTCAAATAAGCGCCATGCGATGTCTGTAATGAGTGCACTTAGAGCCGCTCTCAGGGCCACTTTCAGGGTCTGCCAGGGGTTCACAGGGACCAAGTGTGTCTGCTATGTTTGCACTCACACGGGGTATGGCTGCTGCCTGACCTCCAACAGCCGAATTTCACTGCCGCGATGCTTGACAGCGGATCACCCGAGACATCTCACAACTGAGACCGGACCACTCAACGCAGCCAGCACGCAACGGCCGCGCCATCAAAATAATTTAAGCTTATCTGTCGATGACAGGGCTAATAGGACTCCGTAGTTCGTCTCCATTCCAGAAATGTGGTTGATTGTGGGTGCTCTCAACTGGGGGAGGGTTGCCTCCTGCCTGGGTCGACATGCCCCGAGGAGATGAGGTGATTGCGGGCGGCGATTGCGAGCCTGCCAACGACGATGGTGACAGCAGCTCTTGGCAATCCATACATAAGGGGCCTCTCACCCTGATCACAATCTTTCTTTTGATGGAATTTTGCTTTGCTTGATGCACGACTGCACCGTTACCCTGCACGCTTATGTTGGTCATCGCATCGGGCCTACCTGGATGGCCTGAGGACACCGTTTTTGACAACCCTCCCGGAAGCACACCTCCTTCTTGGGCCCTAATGGTCCGACAAGCATTGGCCTTGGATCGGTGAACTGTGATGGAGATTGATTGACGGCACCGGCACTTGGGACCTACCTATCGTCTCAATCCCGTTACACCGTCCGTACGCAGGGAAAGAATTACCGCTGTATCACCTCTGTCTCGACTTCATGAACTGTTCAACAACGTCCAAGCTGGTCTGTCTTGTTGATAATACCGCACCGGCTCGTGCTCCGTAGCAAAATCCGGAAGGAGAGGGCAGATCCTCATCAGACTACGCAGAATTCACCCACCAGTCGTGTTGCGATCAACCTTCGTGGAGATAAACCGCCGTGACAAGTTGATAACGTTACCTAACGCATCACCATTTTGGTCGAGCGCATGCAGTTCGACGGAGATTTGGGGATTGGAATCCCATGGGTCCACCACCCCACGTCGGATGGCTCGCCAGTGATAGCGGTCCTTGATATGGGCAGGTTGATGGGGCTTACGACGATTCATCTAACGACTGGTCGTCTGATTGATTGATAGGGGACGGGATCCATGCCCACTTTGCCCAGATGATTATCAGTCGAGCTTTTGGCCTATCACTCCGCCAATTTCCAGTTTACTTCCAACTTTGTCCCTAGATGCGCGGTTTTTGAGAAAGAAAAGGGGGAGGCAGGAAATGAGGGAACAGGGAATTTCAAGAAACCTTAGGAAATAACTCTCGTTGAACCGGTCTCCTCGCCTTCACGACCGCATAGGCCTTCGAGACTCTTCTGGCTTGCGGAGAGGGCGGCACTAGTCAATTCCACTTTCACGGGGCAGTCGGACTAGTTGACCGTAGCACCAGCTTGGACTGGGTCGGGTAAGGCGAGTTTCAATTTTCTAGGCTCGGCCGTAACAACCAAGACGAGGCAAGTCGGAAGTGCGTGGGGATTGTCTGATTATGCGTGTTTATAACATGTGGAGACTAGTTTCGCAGACGGATCATCTCGAGTTTGCCTCTTTGGTTCGGAAACGACTATTGCAGTAAAATTGACGCCGTCCTCTTGCTGAGCCACCACCACACGTCACGTCGCAGGTGCTTGCGAGGTAGACAGACAATTGAAGTGGCCAAATTGGCAGATGAGCAAGCGTCAGCAAAGAGGTCTATGTCACTTTGTCAGGTCTACTTGCGTCGCATGATACACTGACCAAATGCACATGTTCTCATGGGCAAGTCGGGGAAATTATTTGCTCGAATATCTCCTGACGGTTAACCTTAGACAGCCCGTGCCTCGGGATATTGTGGGTACACAGCCTATACGGGCAACATATTGTCCACCGTCAGAGTTGATCACATCCAAGGGTGGCGTTCCACGAGGTATCACACTATTGTATCTTAAATCTGGCCAGTTCGAGTCTAGAAATGCTTGCCCAGAAGGTTATTCCCATGCACCGTTGCAATTGGCACAGAGGGATAGAATCGATGAGGCTTGGACAAGTTACGCGGACGACGACGTGGAAGTGTACTGCCGCCACCAGATGGAGACAACCGTTCAAGCTCCAGGTCGTTCCACAGTGGAACAAAGGCACGGGTCGGTGTCAGGGCATCCGCACGGCAAGATTGTGGACACTGAACAGCACCGTAGTGGATGGTGTCGGGCACTGGACTCGCAGGTCAAGCTCTAAGCAGACGCTTAGATTACCTACCTGGGATACTCGAAACATGATATCTGGCAAGAGCTGCCTCTTTCGTCTGTTGTACACCGTATAGGACCGCGATAGTTCGTAGAGAAGTTGTCGATCTTTCTATAGATCCACAGTGAGATAGGACAAGTTCCAACACCGCTCTAAGCTCTCTTTCTCTGTAGTGGGATCAGGGTCATGTCCAACGCACTTGAATGCAATGTCCTGATTGTGACGGCTCATTTGCACGCACGCTTTACGGAGGCTTCCCGGAGAAGCTTGCTTTCATTGTCGCCGCAGATGTGGGGCTTGAATAGATGGATTCAGATTCGAGAGCCATATACTTTGTAGCTTGTGAGGACCCAGATCCAGTTCGTTCCGGGGTGCTTTGAACGGCCTGGACAAGCAGAAATCCACGTAGGCAGGTGTCATAGCGCCATGGTCATTGTTGGAGCGATCCCAGCGGTCTTCCACCGTTTGTCTGGCAATGGATCTGTATACCAAACACTGAAGGGTGAAGAGTCGTCAAGATTAGATGCTCATGGTGTTGACCAGGATGAGGGACTAGCCGGATTGGGATAGCAGCACGGGAAGGAGTGAATTGGAGAGAACTAATGAACTAATGCCACTCCCAGCCATGCTAATTACACACTACCTTTGCTACCCCATGCCGGCTTACAGAACAAGGATTCCATGTGTGAACATTCCATGTCCGAAGTATACACATCGACAGACGACTCTGCAGGTCATACAAATCTCAAAGCAGAATGGGTGCGTTGGTAAACACCGCAGCTCAGCATAGTTTGCAGAGATTTCCACCCTTACACCGCACAGGTAGGAATGCAGGGGCATACTCAGTATGATACGTAACAGAACAGACCCTGGAGTATGGTGGAGATGGAAGGAGAGGATACGTTTCAGGCCTTTTTCTTTGCTTCGCATTTCGTAACTCGTACCATGTATGTATCCCTGAGCGGAGACCATGCTGGAAATTGACACGCACGGCTCTTCTTCTTTCCATCTTCATTTGTTCGAAATAAAAAGGTTCGACCATTATTTTCCCCTGTTTATTTCTGTTCTTTACTTTTACTTGCTGGAATGGCGTGGGTGGCTTAACATTAGCCCGGGCGGGGAGTGGCACTATCCAGCAACAGACGGAGAAATGTACGCGTCGTCAACTGTGGCTTCAACCAATGAGTGTGAGTCCGGGCACGGTTCGACAGCTGAGCCTATGAGGACAAGATCCAATCCAGAGAATCCAGAAGCTCAACGATCGACCGGCGAAACGCAGGCCTACGCGGCCGATCCCTGGGATGCAGCGACAGCCGGGCTTGGCATGTTTCCATCTTCTCTTTTTTCCCCTTCCCCTTCTTGCTTCTTGCTGGGAGCCCCGCCGCGCACCGCTGCTGGGTCTCCCGGAAGTCGAATTGATTGATTCCCTGAATCCCCTCTCGCCTCCTCCTCGCTTGTGACTGGCTCAGCACCTCGGGTTTCCCCTTGGCGAGATTCGTGGAAATTCATCTGCTTCCTCATGTTGAGTGGAGGAGAACCAAATCCACCCCCTGACTATCCTTCTGGCTTTTTTGGGTGAACGTCAGCCGGTGACGTCTATTTTTCTGTCGGGTAATCCAAGGTTTCTTTTTTTGGGGAGAAGGGAGGGGAGAGAATGACTATGGATGGATGGGTTCCCCTTCGGTTATACTTTGTACCCCAGGAGTACTACCCTACTCTATTATTGGCCCTACATTACTATCGACAAGGTGCTTTATCAATGTCACTTCCCATCCTTGTGAGGAATGTTTGCAGAACGTGGGTTGAGCAACCGGCGGGTCTCCGCCGGGGAAAGGAAGGGATGGAGGGGATGGAAATGAATAATTGATTGCAATGAGGGAACAAGAATCACTCGATTCAAGAAGAAAAATAAAATAAAAAACATAATAATTTTGACAACAAAAAGTATACTTGGGGGAAAGGAAATAAACGCACGCCGTTTCAGAAGTATTCATGTTTCCAATGGTCCAGAGAAGTGGATGAAGATCCAAACGACCGGCCAGACCAATCCAAGGTTTCCGTCGCGGATTTCCCCAGAAGACAGGAAAGTTGCCACATTCAGTCTGGCCGTCATTTACTATTATTCAAAATATTCAAAATCCAGAAATTGCAAATAATTTAATTTACTCTTTCGGCGCAGAGGCGCCAAGGTGCTTTTCCTAGTCTGATCTTATTATTACCCTCCCACCATCGAGACTAACCTTTCTGGGTCCTTCTGGGTTATCTACGACTCCATCACCTTGATTGTTCTTGATCTACTCCCGGGCTCCTTTTAATCTCTGCAACGCCTGCTCTGGAATCCACTTCTTTCTTCCTTCTCTTCCATTCTTTTTCTCTTGTCTCTATCCTTGTCTGTCTTCCTCGGGTTGGATTCAGTTCGTCTTCTGTCCTTAGACCTGTTCCTTCCTTTGCGACCAGCGGTCCCTTGCAGAGTAACACCTTCATTACTACTACACTACACCCCCAGCGAGCCCCCGGGTAGTACGTCCAGTTCGCTTCACTATACTACTTCAAACCACACATCTATCTCCGCCGATAATCCATCATGTCTTTGATTCACGCCGACAACTTGGCTCCCCAGCCAATCACTGATATCTTCACCGATGACACCTGCATCGACCGCCGCAAGTGCCACCGCACCGTGCCCATGAAGGTGCTGGCTCTGGGTGTGGGAAGAACCGGAACTGCTTGTAGGTGCTACTTGGGAGGCAGACGACGGAATGCATGACTGACTGGCTCTGTGAACAGCCCTCCGCATTGCCCTCGAACGTCTGGGCTACGTCAAGACCTACCACATGATGTCCGCCAGTATGGAGAACCCTCCCGACTGCTTGATGTGGCACGATGCTCTCGCTGCCAAGTACGACGGTGTCGGCGAGTTCGGTAGAAAGGAATGGGACCAGCTTTTGGGAGACTGCCAAGTAGGTTGCTACTATAGATCACTCGCAACGAACTCGCACGCTGACTCTTTCAAAGGCCGTCTGTGACTGGCCTGCCTGTGCCTTTGCTAAGGAGCTGATCGAGGCCTACCCCAACGCCAAGGTCATTCTGACCACCCGTGATGTTGAGTCGTGGCATGCGTATGTTATACTCTGTCGTTCTGCGATCCGAAACACAGTCTAATTGATTTCCTATAGTTCCGTCATGAAGACCGTTTGGTGGCGTGTCTCCGACCCTGAGCACAAGTTCGTTTCGAACTTCAGCTGGGCCGCTAGCATGTACTACCCCATGCTCAACAAGTTCTTCCAGACCTTCTTCCGCGGCGACTTCCCCAACAAGGGCAAGCAGGTCTACCTTGACCACGTTGAGGAGGTCCGCAGCCTGGTTCCTCCCGAGAGGCTCCTCGAGTACAAGATCGGCGAGGGCTGGGGCCCGCTTTGCGAGTTCCTGGGTGAGGAGGTCCCCGACACTCCTTTCCCCCGCGGTAACGACATGGCCGACTTCTTCAAGCGCTGCCGCGGCCGCAACAGGCGCCAGATGCTGAACGCCGCTCTGCAGGCTGTCACCATGGGTGGTGCTCTGCTGGCGACCGGCTTGGTTGCTACCATGGCCTTCAAGCGTTTCTCTCGGTAGATGCGCTTGCTTGCTGCCTGATTTGCTGAATTTCCTTTCGCTTTTTCCCTTTGCAGCATGCGCTGGGCGCCAATGCTGCGGGTCTTTGCTCTATTTTCCCTAATTATTCCCAAAACTGCTTTTCTCATGTTGATATATACCGATGAGCGTACCACCTTCTCAGGGGTATTTGTTGCTAATACTGTGCACTGATGTTCTGCTATTTCCTTGGCTCTTGGCTGGGTTTCTCGCTCTATGGCTTACAGTGGGGGGAAATTTTCTTGGCTATGTTGGTTAGACTTATTGCGCAGGGACCGGTCTTGGATTCTTGTTGCCTGGCGTGGATGGAGTCGACGAGAGATGAATATAGATTATTTAGCCTATTAGCATGGTTGCTTCCGTATGGTGTATTCTTGGCCGGGGGGTTTGTAATGTGTAAGTAATCTGTAGGCGAGCCTCGGCATGCGGTGTCACAGCCAACAACTCCAACCACCCTTTCCCCTCGCCCTCGCACGGTGGAAGGCGCCGAGCATCCGTCTTGGCCTGCATAGGGAGTTGTCGCGCGCCCTACAAGGCCATGGCGGTCGCTGACATGGGCTGTGCGACTTCAACCCGTTGTGCTTGGCACGTCCTCGGCGGGCGCGGTTCCCAGCCCAATCCAATCCTTGTCATACTCATCACACAGCCTTGTATGTATGCGAGCTGAGCCTGGCGGTAAGCAGAGCGTTCATAATGCTCATTGATCAGACATTAACTCCGCTCGGTACTTCAGGCTTGCTTACAGCAGATCTATCGACCAAGGTGCATGCATAAGGCGCCCGCCCAGCGCATGACGGAAATTAAACCAGCCATACCAATAAGCCGTACGGAGTAGATACTACTCACTGCCAGTTGGCAACAACAAAGTACAACAATACAATCCTAATGCGCAATGTCAAGCAGCACGTGGAGCACAAACCAATGAGCTTAGCATAAATACCTCAAGCGGCTCCTATACCCGCCGCCTCCGCCGCCGCCTAAACTTGAAGCTGTGCTGCGACGAAAGGGGTGGTGGTGGTGTGTGTGGCGGCGCCTATTAATAGAGTTCCGCTGATACAGCCAAGGATTCGGAGATGAGAGTGCAGCGCTTACGTTCCAAGGCCAGTAGGTGTGTGTGCGTATGAACCTGTCTAAAATTATATACGTAGAGTGTTTAGTTGTGTTGTGTTGTGCTGTGATGCATCCAATGCAGCATAAGGAAAGTACATTACATGTTCTGCAAGCGCCAGGATTCAAATGTCTGTGTGACCCGTGATCCGGTGTTGTATTCGTTTAGTATTTTTGTTTCGTTTCTGTTTCTTTTGTTTTGGACTATTGGATTGCTGCCAAGCCATTCAGGCACTGTTTATTGTTGGGGTTGTCTCCATTGTTCATTTCGCTTTCCTTTTCATGTAGATGACTAAGCGTGTCAGGCTCAATGAGGAATACAGCCAGCCATGACATTCTCAACCACATGCATAACTACTATGTACTTATCTACCTTCAACAATAAAACTCTACAAACAACAACTATCTACAAAATAGGTGATCAAGAATCCTATCCCCTACCACAGCCGGGAGCCCTGACTAGTACTGCAATTCCGGCCCGGCAAATAATTTACCTACTTCGACTAGAAAGGTACCTAGCTAGTGAAAGGCCCAGCCCATCAACTAATCAATCAATCAAACTAAAAGAGTGGAGAAGTCTCCTTCCTCGCAACTCCACCAGTTTTCTCTTTCTCCTGCTCCAACCACAACCGTGGCGTGACGTGGCGTCGGCATGGGTCCCCCCCCTTCTTCTCAGTTCAGTTCCCCTTGGTCTAGCCTGAACATGAAATCCATGAAATTTTGCCTGTGGCAGTCGTGGCGACTATTCCTGATTGGGCGTTAAGTTCGGCGTTAACGAAACACACCCAATTTGCTTTGGGGGTTGTTGGTTCCATGGTTTACCGGGTCCGTACGGATGTAAATATACCCCCCGGTAATGGGTTACGTGTGTGTGTGTCTGTGTTGTGTATCTATCTTTATCTCCAGTTATCCTTAATCCCCGCTGGGATAGTAGTCAGAGTAATTAGTGGTGTTATTTGAAAGGGTTCAAGGAAGGATCTAATTATCTAGTGGCGGCTGCTTTTATTAGCTAGCTAGCTGGAACGGTGGTTCAATTGGTGCTGTGATTTGTGCTAGTTGGGATGTGAGGACTGGCGTGGATTAGACTAGATGGGGGTTGGGGGAGGCACTACGTGGAGGGGGTACGTATGTTCTCTCTCTCCGCAAGATGGTAGTCTACGCCGTAGCTGTGCGCTGAGGACAAAGTAGATGGGGGTTCAACTCTTTGCTTTTTATACCTTTCATGGCGCCGATTTTTCTGCTTGCTGTTGTGGTGTGATATTCATTATTATCTTTTGGATTCGTTGGAGTACTTGAATGCGATGCTGCTGATATACAGAATGGGCAATGTTGCTGTAGATGGAAGGCTCTATTCATAGAGATAAAATGAGGATGGTCAGGAGGTCATGTCTACGTAGTACTTCAACGTGTTCTGGAAATAAGTGCCCGAACTAAGCATTAGGATAGACAATTCTCCAACTTACGAGGCAGGTGCCAAATGCGCCACAAAGATCGCCTATCTTTGCGCAACGTGATGACGATTAGAGTTGTGGAAATTCACAACTGTACTTATCTTGCTATCACTATACTATACCTTGGAACACATCTTTCTCTGACAGACCGTATCATTATCTGTCATATGTCGGTATGGACCAACACACGCTGCTGCCTCTGTATGCCATGCCAACTGTGCCTTTGCGTCTGAGGTATGGAGATTTCAATCCCTGCTGCTGCACGACTGCAATAAACATGAACAGCCAGTGCCAGATTGGGGTGGGGATCTTTATCCTGTCCCCGCCCCGATCAACCAATGACGGTTTGTAGCCACTACATTTCCAGAACTCCGGCTCACCATGGCTAATCCACATTGGGTGTCATCGTACGTTGGCCGGGCTTGGCATGACTCCACCGACGAAACGAGGAAATCGGGTGTAACGAACTGTGGCCAGCCTGAAGCATAAAGCAGGATTGCCAAACGTTATCCCCGGCGGTTTGCGGGCAAAAAAAGCAGACCAGAGGGGAAAAAAAGAGGATTCAAACAGAAGGAGAGGAAGAAAGTCGAGAGCGTCCTGTGGTCCTTGTTTCGCCGCTTTCGTCTCCTCTACTATCTCTCTCTCTCCCTCTCGCCCTCTCTTCCTCCCTTTATATCATCAACCGCTGATCCCTTCCCCTACTCCCCCCCGACCTTCCCCCATTCTTTCATCCCTGTATACATACTTCGGTACATACCTTGACACCCCGATCAGGTGGCCCTGCATTGACTGTGGGATTTTCTCGCCATCTGCATCTGTTTTTCATCTTTCATCGACATTCCTTTTTCTCTGTTTCCCTCTCGCTCATTCGATCTTCCTATCAACTTCCGAGCTCACTCCGAGCAAGTGATGTAAAGAATCCATGGTGGCCTTCACTCATATCGCCGGGGGATCGGCTCCGTCCTCCATAGTCGCCTGTGTGGCGCTATTATTATTCGCATGCCTTCACACTGTCGTCGCAGAGATCGATTCGGTCTTCAAATCTGTGAGTTGCGCCTGCTTTAGCGTTATCGCAGCTGCTTGCACGCAATAGTAGCCAAGATGTTCGCCACCCGGATCGCTAACCTTGTCTCGACGTCCACCTGCAGCGACCCGATCTCTATCCTCCAGTCCTTACTTTGGAACATAGAGTTCCCGACAAGCTAAGCCCGGGTTACATCTTTGTCGGCCCGTACGAAGCGTCCAATTCCGGCCCGTATATCTATGATGATGAGGGGGTATGCTTCTGATATTCCCGCCCGAGTGTATTGTATGGTGTTGACCATGTTATAGAACCTAGTCTGGAGCGGCTGGGGTAACTCGGGCCCCGGAAATGCCCACGGCATGCACGTTTGCAAATACAAGGGAAAGGATCACTTGTGTTTCTTTCAGGGTGTTCAACAGAATGGGTATTGTCGAGGTCATGGAGTCATCATGGATGACCACTATCGCATCGTCCGAACCGTGGTTCCCGGAGGCGGCATGGCATCCAGCGATATGCACGAATTCATGCCTATCAATGACGGCAAGACTGCCTTGATGACGGTCTACCAGCAGCGACAGTTCGACATGTCCACGTGGAACGTGAAATCCGGCATGGGATGGGTGATGGAGAGTATCTTCCAGGAGGTGGATGTGGAGACCAACGAAGTTCTGTTCGAGTGGAAGTCCCTCGACCACGTCGACCCTTCGGATGCCTACACCTGGCCGAGTCACACTGATACTTCGGGCACTGGGCTGGACCCGCGCTCGCCCTGGGATTACTTCCATATCAACTCGATCGACAAGAACGCCGACGGCGATTATTTGATCTCTTCGCGCCACACGTGCGCAATCTACAAGATCTCCGGCAAGGATGGATCAATCATCTGGCGGTTGCATGGAGCGCATCCGACGTTTAAGAACATCAACTTCAGTTTCTCGCAGCAGCACGACGCGCGGTGGCTTGGTGAAAACTCCACCCACACTCTGCTGTCTCTGTACAACAACGGGTACAATGGGTTCAACCGCACCCACGACTTCTCCTCGGGTATGATCATCTTGATCGATCACCAAGATAACACCGCCACTCAGCTGCACGACTACTCTCCTCCCGGCAAGACCATGATCAGCTCCAGCCAGGGTAATATGCAAGTGCTTCCGAACAAGAATGTATTCATTGGGTGGGGTAACAACGCTTATGTTTCGGAACATGACGAAGAAGGCAACGTGCTGCTCTGGGGTTATATCGACAAGGATCGCATCATGAACTACCGGGCGCAAAAGTTCGAATGGGATGGGATGCCTACCGACGTGCCGGCTCTCTGGACGTACTCGCAATCTACCGACACCTTCTCTCCGACGACGTTCTACGTCAGCTGGAACGGAGCTACGCGTGTGAAGTACTGGCGGTTCTACGGCGCGACCAACTCCACTGGCCCGTATATGCTCATCAAGCAGACCGAAAAGAGAGGATTCGAAACGAGCTACTCGGCACCGCACTTCTACCGCTGGACCTACGCGGAGGCGGTGGATGTGGAGGGCAAGGTTCTGGGCAAGTCGCGCAGCATGTTCACCTTCACGCCGTCGCCCGATCTCCAGGGCTACTGTGGCCGGGAGTCATGTGAGAATGCGCAGACGTATGGAATGCCCGGCGAGGAGGGCGCTGGACCTGCCATTCCCCCGGCTGGAATTAACACCGTTCCTTGGGTCGATCCTGATCACCCTGATGCACACTTCGATTGGGGTCAGACCGGAGATGATGATGATGAGAGCGAGAGCGGGTCCGGCAATTTGAAGAATGTTTATGGTAAGCAGACTCCCGCTGACGGCAGGAAGTATAACCCCGCTGACTATCGCAATTTAGATAACAACGTGGGATGGATCGCCCCGGTCTTCGGCTTTGTCGTTACCATCGTGGCCATCTATACGATCATGCGGATATACCGGCGCCAACAGCAATTTAGCCGGGTGAAGGAGAGGGCATCGACGGAGAGTGTCGATAGGATCGAGAGGTCCAAGCCCTGGACGGAATCGGAGGAGACGCCGTGGTGGCATTGGCGGCGCTGGACGAAGTCACAGGAGCCACCGCGGTATTTTCCGTTGGCAGAACAACGGAGTCCATCCTGGCGAGCGGAAGGACAATATGTGCGATAGATAGATGCACATTATAATAAGTGTGATTATTGATGTGCTTATAAATGAATATAAAGATAAAGATTAAATATGTATAAACAAGAAGTTCTTCCCTTTCTTCCAATTCAAACATACGATCCATCTCCTTGGAACCTTGGAACCATACCATACAGCGGCTAATACACGGGACGGTCATCGGCTGACGGTACATACATACATACATACGCAAAGCCGAGCAAAGCGGCAACGAGCCATAGAAATGGATGACGCCGATAACGAGTACAAAGTTAGTAGCTCAACTTAGTTAGCTGACAGGAAAGAAAAACTGACTCGTGCGGACGCAGCCCCGAACCAACAACCGAAACTGCATGTCACTTCCGTCACTCGCTACTACTTTTATTTACGCATCGAATTGCGTACGTCTGAACTGAAGGCTTTGATCTCTGACGTCTGACGCAGCCTGCATAACTTCGTTTAGACAGACAAAAAAAAGCTTTCACCTGCCCCATGCACATCAACTAGCGGAGAGGTCGGAATTGATGCTACGTAGACACTTTCTAAAAGACGCATGGATTGGGGGTTTTTGTTTCAAGGGAACGGAACGGGAGGGAAAAGATTTCAGGTCGTCTGGATGAGACGCTGGTGAGGGTCTGTTTAGCCGGGGAAGAGATAAGTGGAAGTATCATCCTAGTCCTATCTAGTTACTTTGTAGAAAGAGGAAGAGAGAGTGGGTACAGTATCAATTGTGTCGAAACTCGAAACAAAAGTGCCAAAAAAGAAAAGAGGAAAATTCAACGGGGGGGAGATAGAATGGATGCCAAGACGCCAAAAGGCCGGACGAGGAAGGAACGGACGAGTTGAGGTGGAGAACCGACGAAAGAGTCGTCGCAAGCTCGGGGATTCGTTGCCGATCCGAATGAAGAATAAAAATGATTTTTTTTAAAAAAAATTGGTTTTTTATTTAAATCGATTTTTAATTTATTCGGCTTATTTTAGTTTCACGAGTTATTTCCCCTTTGGGCGTATACTTCATTAATTTCCATTCAGTAACAATCAGTTGTTCAGTACATCCAGTAAGTTGTAATTCCCAGTTCTTACTGAGTACGGCAGTTCTCCTGATGGTCTTCTCTGTTTAGTCTTCTCTCTCTCTCTCTTTTCACGATCTTCCCTTTCCATTCCTTTCTCCTTCTCTCTTTCTCTCTCTCTTACTTCCTACTCTCAGTCTCTCATTCTCGCTTCTTCTCTTTTCGTGGATCCCGATCTGACCTGACCTAAACCAAACCATCAAGCCCCGGTCCGGCCCCTCCCTTCCTTCTTGTTCTTCTCCAGTACCGTGGGCTGCCCTATCATCATTCGCCGCCCCCCCAAAAGGTAACTCTCCAATGCCTGCGCCAAAATCCGGCTCTCAAGGAACCGCCGGGCGTCCGTCGCTACCCTCTTTATCGCTCTCCTCCACCACCCCTTCCTCGGCCATCTCTACTCCAGCGGCCACTCCCAACCCCCTCTCGGCCACCTCCTCCTCCTTCGCCCAAGCCTCTAAGAGCCGGAATGCTCGTCATACCCGAGCCACTTCCTGGACATCCGGTCACGATCAAGGCGGCGAACCCGACCCCGCGGACTTTACCTCTTCTCAACAACGTCGTCGCCGAGAATCCAACATCTCGTTAGCTGACGTCTCTGAGGGCTCTTCCGGCCGCTACGACGACGATTACGACGATAATCGCTCTCACTCCAACATGGCCGTGAGGAACACTTCCTTCGACTGGGGTCCTGGACACGCTCGCAGTCGCTCCCATTCCTACAGCCAGCCACAAATGTCTCTCCTACAACCTCAAGAACTGGCCGACTCGTCGGCTCCCCGGCCTCGTCCAGCACCGGTTACATGGATGTCCCTTCCGCGCAAAGGGCAGTTGGCCCTGTTGGGTCTCTGTCGTGTCTTCGACTTCCTCCAGATTGCCTCCCTGCAGGCATACATGTTCTACCAACTGAAATCCTTCGATGAGAACCTCTCCGACGCCGATGTCTCCACCCAGGCCGGTATCCTCCAGGGTGCCTTTACCGCCGCGCAGTTTGCAACAGCTATCCCTTGGGGCCGTGTCGCCGATGCAGAATGGGGTGGTCGGAAGTTTGTTTTGCTGGTTGGTCTTATTGGTACCGCGCTGTCCTGTCTGGGTGTTGCCTTTTCGACGTCGTTCGCGCAGGCCGTGTTCTGGCGTTCGTTTGGCGGTGCTATCAACGGAACAGTGGGTATTATTCGGACCATGATCGCGGAGAATGTCAAGGAGAAGAAATACCACTCGCGCGCGTTCCTGATCCTGCCTATCGGGTTCAACGTCGCCGCGCTGTTCGGACCTGGTAGGTACTCTGCTGTGATGTATGTGGCTACAGCTAATTTCTTTTAGTGATGGGTGGTATGCTGGCTGATCCGGTCAAGGCGTATCCTCGACTCTTCGGTCCTGATTCTTCTTTCGGCGGCGCCGACGGTGTGCAATGGCTCGTTCGCTACCCGTATGCGCTGCCCATGCTGGCGAATTGCATTTTCCTGACATTTGCTGCGGTCTGTGTCGCCATCGGTCTTGAAGAGGTATGTTTTCTGTTGAAATCTGCTATGCGCACCGCTGACTGACTGCACAGACTCTGGAAGCTTGCAAGGGCAAGCCTGGTCTGGGCGTGTTCTCGATGCGCATCTTCGCTCGCGGCATCCGGGCAGTCGTTCCCTCGAACTCTCCGCTGTACCAGAGACTGCCGTTCGCGGACTACGACGAGGCTGGTCCTCTGCTGAACCGCAGAGACCCGGCCGAAAGTTACGAGATGGAAGAGAAGGCGACCAAGGCAAGCCGTCAGGCTCGCACCTTGCCTTTCCGTCGGATCTGGACCAAGAACGTGCTGTGCACGCTGTTGGCGCAGGCCTTCTTCGACTTTCAGATGGGTGCTTTCAACAACCTCTGGCTGCTTTTCCTCTCTACCCCGCGTTATGATGCCAACGACCCGGCCAGTCCGGTGCAGAGACTGCCCTTCATCTTCACTGGCGGTCTGGGCATGCTGCCGCAAAGTGTTGGTTTCGCTACCGCCATTCTCGGTGTGATTGGCATGCTTCTCCAGTTCACCATTTACCCCAGCATCAACAACCGTTTGGGCACGGCCAAGAGTTACCAGTACTTCTTGACCCTCTTCCCTCTGGCGTACGCATTCGCGCCATACATTGCTCTTGCTCCGTCATCCGCACCTCCGCCGGGCCAGGCCAACGGCGGATGGGTGTGGTTCTCCATCATTGTGGTCTTGTTCCTGCAAGTGACCGCACGAACCTTTACTCTTCCCACCTCTATCATTCTCCTGAACAACTGCTCTCCGCACCCGTCCGTGCTCGGCACCATCCACGGCATCGGCCAGTCCGTGTCCTCGGCGTTCCGTACCATTGGACCGATCTTTTCCGGATCGTGGTACGGCTACGGTCTGGAGATGGGCATGGTCGGGTTCGCGTGGTGGCTGATTGCATTGGTGTCGGTGTTCGGCTGCGTCGCAGCCATCTTTGTCTACGAAGGTTCCGGACATGAAGTCTTCCTCCCCGGTGAGGAAGAAGAGCGGGACTAAGTCTTGCTTTTTTTATTTTCTCATATCACTGCACAGGCGTTAGAGTTGCTTCTTGTACATATATATAATGGACCCATTGCATAGCGGTGTCCGGTCGTGTGCTTTGGATTTTGATCTGGTTTGGGATGGTTCAGCGGTTGCTGTTGATATATTATACCTGTTGTTACATTATGCATTGGATGACAAAAGAGAGAACGGAGAGGATAGATAGATGGATGCATGCATGCATCTAATAGAAGTTTTGCTCGTGCTTATCATCATAACATCGTAACTGTTAATGTAGTGAGTGTAGAGGGAATGTGCATGTCACCGTCTCAACGCCGCAAATCGTCTCGTCAACTCATCCAACTCGGGTATATCACTCTTCACCGGCTTCGACTGCCTTGCCTCTTTAGACACATCCTCCTCCCCAGGCACCTTGACCTTGGGATTCAAATTATCCACCCTCGGCCCCGGCGGCGCCACACTCACCGGACTCTTCCCCTCGGAATATAGCCCCCGCGGCGGCGTCGCCTTATTCAACTCCATTGTCTCGGATGCCCGTCGCACGTCATTCTCACTATCACCAGACTGACCGATCTTCCTCGGGGTAGACGGCAACTTCACATCCCCATCATCACCATCCCCCCCACCACCATCATTCCTATCCTCATCCTCCAGAAAACTCGGCACATCCCCCTCCGGCGAAGCAACAGACCCATCCGGCCACGTAACCCCATACGCCCTCGCAATTTCCACAAGATAACTCTCCACCAACTCCTCCGAAGGCGGCTTCACCCTCAACCCCCTCACCAACCGTTCCGGAACCTTCACCTCCTCCAGCTTATTCTCCTGCGCCAGCATCATGAAATCCTTCCCCCATCGATCGGAAAGTAATCCCCGCAGGATCGTCATTTCCCGGATATCGTGCGGGAACCGCGCATACGAGTAGAATATCACTGCCGCGGCTTCGTCGAGCGCGGGGTCGATGTAGCCTTCTTTTTCCACTGCTTCCCCGCCGCTTTCGGCTCTTGCTTGTTCTGCTGCTTCTGCTGTTTGTGATGTAGTTTGTTGTGGTTGTGGTTGTTGTTTCCGCCCAAACCCCCAAAACGAGAACCCTGAGCTTTTCCCCTCTGCACCTTTAGATGACGACGAAGTAGATGAGGATGTGGAAGAAAGATGGCGTTGCGCCTCCCCTCGCGCTCTACTCCGCGCGCGCGCGCCCTTCTCCCCAAAGGCAGATTGATCGAGGAGATTCGCCCGCGCGAGAAGTAGTTCGCAGTAGAGTTCTACCATCTCCATTACTTCGACGGCGGTGTCGGTCGCGATTACATTCTCGACGCGGATGCGGGCGCTCGTGGAGCGGTTCTCGGCTAGCAGGGTGGAGAGGTCTCGACGCTGGACGACGGAGCTGGCGGTGTCTTTTTTTTGGAGGAGACGGAGGCGTGGGATTAGGAGGTGGAGGGTGCTGGTTAGTTTTGCCTGGAGGGGGAGTTAGAGGATTGGAGGGGGGTAGGTTGGGGTGGAGGGGTGCGGGGGGGAAGGGAGATGAGGATGGTAGTGGATTGAAGGGAGGAACGGGATGGGGGGGTAAGGAAGGAGAGCGTACTGTTTGTGGTGAGGGAGGCATTTTGGTGGTTGTTATTGTGGGTGTGGTGGTGAGTGTAGGAGTGTGAGTGGTAGAGGGAGGTGGTGAGATGACGATGATGTTAGGCAGTGCAGGTGGAGGTGGAGGTGGGCCGATTGGCTTCCCGCTTTGGCATTGACACAGGCTACTAACTCCGTACATCTTTCTCTTTCTACTTATCCAGTTAAACATTACTCCACTTCGCTTGTGGGTATTGAGTTGTTTCTTTTGACTTATCTGGACATTCTTGTTAACTGCACTGCTACTTACTCAGATATATGGAATTTAACTGTTCAATGGAAGCTCGTACTAGTGAATGCGGGCTGTTCTATCCTCTACCCTATGATCATGCTAAGTGGCATATGGCACTTGATTACAGATTAATGACTATATTAACAGTAAACATTATCAATAAATGCTCATCAACCAAGCATGTACAAGAACGTCAATCATAAGGGTATAAAGTATAGTGTGAAAAAGGTGCCCATCAGAAGTGAACCAAGAAAAATGATGGTGAGTATGCAACCATTTATGGTTTGTTAGTCAATATGGTCTGGTCTCAGTCTAGACCATTACAATCGCTCCAAGGACCGCCACAATCAGACTCAGTTTGGACACTGCACTACCAACAGCAGCGCCATCCGTCACAGCTGCCGACGGTGTTGCTTGAGCAGTTCCAGTTGTCTGGCTTGAACCACTGGCAACAGCAGCAGCAGCGACAGGATTCGCGTGCGAGGAGCCTGTCTCCACCATCGCATGGGGCTTGTACGTGTAGCTAGCGGTCCAGTTCATTGCTGCGCTGGAGCTGACCTTCCAGCTGGATGAGGGCGTCCAGCTGGGGGTAGGCCGGGGGGTGATGCTGCTGGAGCTGGTGGTGCTGATGGTGGAGCTGGAGCTGAGCGTGGAGCTGGAGGTAGTAGTGCTAGATGGGGTCGGGGTCGAAGTGCTGCTGGTAGTGCTGGAGCTGGTGCTGATAACCGTCGACGTGCTGCTAGTAGTAGGGACGATGCTGCTGGTCGAAGTGCTGCTGGAGCTGGCGCTGCTGCTCACGACGACGCTGCTTACACTGCTGCTGGACACCGGCACGCTGGCCGAATCGCCTTCCTTGTCGAAGACAACGACATTGGCCTTGCCGCCCTTGGGCACCGTCACCACACAGAAGGTGGCACCGCCGGCACCCACCGAGCTGTCGCCAGTCATCTCGTTCACGCCGTTGACGGACGGGTCGATCTTGCAGGGAAGTCCATTGCAGCCGCCTCCCTCGCACTCGATCTCGACACCGAATTCAGGGACTTCGTTGCGGAATGGGGTGGTCGGTTCCAGGTAAATCGGGTTCCATCCGAGCTTCACATAGGTGTTGCCGTCGCCGTCGGTGTTGGCGCCAGCAACATACGGGGACCAGTTGCCGTAGGGGTTCGCGGAGGTACCCCAGACACAGGCCGTCTCGGTGTTGTATCCCGGAGGGTTGATATAGAAGCTATACTGTCAGTATAATGACCTCTTACAAATAAGAGTAATGGAAAACCTACTGCGCCGCAGTCTCACACCAGTAGCTCAGATCCGGAACAGCCAGGGTAGCCAATTCCTCAACAAGCGTGGGAATCAACATGGCCTCATTGCCAGGAAGAACCGTCTGGCAGAAAGACACCTGCTCCTTGCACTTGTTCTTCGCGCTGACGACGCCGGTGCCGTCCTTGCAGTAGGGACGGTCCGGAAAGGGCTTCTGGATCTCGCCGTTCTCATCGCAGTACAGTCCACCATTCTATTCTTGTCAGTCACGCCCGACAAGAGTGTTTCTAGTCTTAGGTGATCCACTTACCATGGACATGGGGTAGGTGTACGAAGTAGCCTCCGGGTCCCACTGCATAGAGACCTGGCCAGCCGGACAAGCATACGGGCAGTATCCACCAGGCTTGCACTCCTGGTCAGGGCTCATAGCCCATCCACCATTGACCTCATGGGGAGTGATAGGGATCAAGCCAGCCCCGGAGGGGAACTGACACGAGGAACTCTTCTTCACCACGGGGGCATCCACCGAGCGATGGCTGCGGTGGTGGCCATGGTCATGGGCGTGCTTGGCTGCTTGGACAGCAGTCATGGCTAGGAAAGCCACCGTTGCGCTAGTGGCCTTCATTGTTGTATGAGATGTGTATATGTATGTATGTTGTATGTATATGTAACCAAAGGTGGAGTGATGTGATATGTATGGGTCAGTTTTGTGAGATATAGGGCAGCAGACAAATAGGCAGGTAAGTATAGAGAATAATTGAATATGACACCACGACAGACCACGCGAAACGAAAGACTAGGGTCAGTAAAGACAAGAACGAGAGACTGGACCGAAGCAAAGAAAGAGAAGAAGAAGAGAAAGAGAAAGAGAGAGACAAGAGCCGGAAGACCCAGAAGAAAAGAGAAACGAGGAACCCACTGCCACCACCATCAAACTACTAGAGAAAGACTACTACGACTAGTAGCCTGAAAGTGATGCTCTCCCCGGGTTACCCAAACGGGATAGCCCTAAAGCTTCGATCCCAATTAGGCATGACCCGCTCAGGGGGTCACGCCAATCAGCGGCCTTTGCGCCGCGGCAGTTCATGGAATTCCCCCCGTATATTACTTCTTCGGGGATAGTGGAATAGTGTAGGTTACCGTACGGTTCCTGATGGATGGATAAGGGGTCCGTGGACCCTGAGACATTCATCCATACTTGGTGGTAGAACTCACAAAAGGGGAGTAAAGAAAGAGAGAGAGAGAGCGTAGCTGTGAACAATGATATATCTGCTGAGTTTATCCAACTCAATCCTTAATTATTGCCATCTGTCAACGCAGCTCAACTCTACCAGAATATGACACGGGACAAACTCACAACCACTCCCTTCCTCTCCCAGATAAGACATCACGATCAGCATCCGTCCAGACCGGATCAGCATCCTATTCCAGTATAAGTCACAAAGTAGTGCTCGAGTCCGTTCGAGTCAGTGCCTCTCTGCCTCTGGGCTAGTCTCAGTCACTGACCGGCACGGACTTTGGCAGTTGAAAAAAAGGGGGCGAGAAAGCAAGCCAATCGTACAGGCTCATAGGCGGGAGCTATGGTGCTAGCTTGGGCAATAGTCTATGTTTAGTCTGTGTCTCGCTTGCTCAAGAGCTCGTATCTATGGTCATGTTTGATTGCACCAATGGCTTGATTGCTGGGCAAATACTTGTTTCTCTGTCACGTACTTTAGGCAATAATTGTCAATAATAATACTGGTATAAACAGGGGTCCTGGGGTGGTTTGCATGCACGTTGCAAGCTTGAGCTGCCATGCACTTCACTCCACTGCATAGTCTACTCTCTCCTCTTTCTCGCCCCTTGGCCTGTGCGCTCAACGTGGATTTTCATTCATATATAATCTATTATATGATAGTCTGGGGAACTACTTGGGTGCAATAAATTAACTAGCTAGCTTGTCATAATGTATGACGCACACACTACTCCATAACGACACAGTCATACTTCTTACTTCTTACTGTATACCTACTCCTACTCCTCCTGCCCTTCCATCTCCCCCCATCCCTCAAACACTCCACCAGGGGTGTCCCTCCACCCCCAAGCAACACAATAATGTCTTGCCAGTAACCTCCACTCCTCCATCTCATCCAACATCTCCAGCCCTGCCACCCGCTCCTTCTCCCGCTCATTCACCCACCTCTCCCAGATGAAATCCACATCCGCCGCCGCCTGTCCCCTGTCCAGTCCCAGTTCCCGTAACCTCCGTCGCTGCGCCTCTAGCGACGCATACTCTTGCAACGTCTGCAGCTGAATTCCCCTCGTGGCTAAATTTGCCACCATTGTGCGCCCGAATGCGTCGTCGGGCCGGATGGGCTCATACAAAACCAACCCTACCGGCGTGGTCGCCGGGAAAATGGTCTCTGTGAAGTGGCGGACTACCGAGCTGGCTTCGCCGGGGGTGAGGTATATAAGACAACACTCGGACAGGAGGAGGGTAGGGAGAGTAGGATCGAGGCCTGGGAGGGCCGGTGAGGTGGGTAAACTGCGGAGATCGAGGGGGTGGAGATGGTAGGAGGGCGAGTGGAGGGCGTCGTTGGTCGGAGAGATTTCGACGTCGCCGCTGCTGCTGCTAAGAACGCGTTGGAGGAGAGGTGCGGCGCGGATGAGTTTGATCTTGGCGGAAGTGTTGACGGAAAAGTCGATCTCGTGGTAGACTAGATTCGATGCATCGTACGTAGGGGAGGAGAGGAGACGAAAGATGCGCGAGTCGGTGCCGGCGCCCAGGGAGATGATCTGTTTCTTGGGATGAGAGGGATGGGCGCTCAGAAAGCGGGTGACGAGGCGATCGATGGCGGTGGTGCGGACGTAGGTACCTATGATGGTTAGAAATTAGAAATTCGGAGTCTGTTGACGGTAAAGTACCTCTATTGATGATGGGAAGTCGACGGACTTCCATGCCCGGAGGCGTCAATGCAGGTGCGAAGACATCATCGAGATAGCCCAGGTTCACGGCGCTGAGGCGGGAGACGCTGGCGTCATTGTCGGTGCCCTGCACCACACGATCTTTGGCGCCATGAGACCCGTGGCCTGCATCACCGGGCTGGCCACCCCCACGACTTCGAAACCGGCCGCGACCACCACCGCGACGCAGAGTGTTCAGGTTGGGGATTTGCGAGGCGGACATTGACGAGGAGGAGATGGAGAAGCTCAAGTTGGAGCTCCGCGGCGGAAAGTTGGTTGTGCCCCGCGTTGCCGCCCACCCCACAGTTTTCTACTTTTACTCCATACAACATTGTACGGTGATCACCTCTGAAGCTTCATTTCCACCATGGAACAACTATCTAAACACATAATGCTATCCCAATAAATTGACTGGTCTGCTAGTAGCATCAGTCGGGGCTGAGCAAAGTTATTCTACCTCTATACAATGCATTGTTGTCTTCATAGGTGATTCGCACCAGTTTTCCGAAAACGGTTCAACATGGCATGAACTTACTGTTGGCTCAACCAACGGACCAAATGAATGTATGATTCATCATCATGAGACTCAATTGATTTGAGTTAATGTTCATTCTCTTTCATCACAGTCATTGTCCGTAATCCATCGTCGGAGATGGCAGGTGTAGCAGTGCCATCATCATGGATGGATCTGATTATCCGAAAACTGCATCCCTACCAATGTTCCTCACGTTCATGCCCTATGGTTTTGCTTGGATCCACCTACAACAATGGTATTATTATATCATGTATACTTCATTGAGACCATTTCTCTCTTTGTATATGATTTGGTGGTTGCCTTCACCACAAGGTGTTCTCCATCTGTATTATATATACGCTCAAACTAATCACCATCAAATTGAGAAAAGAAGACTTCCGATCTTGAGTCTTCACACATCACTGAAGCCTTGTCAGATAGTTGGAACCATGAAGCTTCTTCCAATCATCTTCCTTGCCATCTCGACAGGGGCCTTTGTTCTGCCCCAGAATATGTTCCAGCCATTCCAGCCTTCATTCGATAGTATTAATAACGAGATCGACCAACCCACTACTACGACTCTACCAAAAAGCTACCGCAAATGCTACAAATTAACACACATCGACCGCGGCGAGATCAAACGCTTCATCCCTCGCGGCGGTCAAGGCGGATTCTTCTGGGAACCACTCTTATTCGACGAAGACACCCCTCCAAGGACATTCCAAATATGCGGAGACTACAAATCCGGCTGCCCATCCCCCGAGGGCAACGTAACCAATGGCGGGTCTTTCTGTCTCAACTGGCTCTCCAAAGAATGGGGACCACTGGTGCTTAAGGCGTATCGAGATAAGTCTTGGTATCTCTGGCCTAATGAGAACAGCGAAAATAAAGATCCGCTGGTCCCGTTCAAATTCCAGGCTGTAAAGGACGAAGGCGACAAGGAGTTTCTGCGTATTCGGGGTAACAATACGCATGGACTCAATGGGCTTGGTATTATCAAGGAATATAATCAGAATGCCCTTTGGAATACGAAGGGGAATGGGTTTATGAAGTTTAGGTTTGATGAAGTCGAATGTAAGGGTGATGCGACTCAAGATTTGGATGGTGAGGAGCATGGGGAGTTGTGACCATATCATGCCCATGTGGGTTGCGGTTGCGTATAAATATATATAAGAAGTGATTTGGCTGAGGAGAGGATTATTTGTGGGACATCACCATCCAGCACTTGGAAAAGGGAGGCTATAAGAGCATTTTATGGGTTGTTAAGTTGAAATGTTCTTGTAGTTTGTAGTAACCACTGGACCCATTCTAAACTGTTGTTATCTTCACCTGTTTGCTTGAATCGCAGTCAGGAGCATGGGATGCAGTTATTGCTGATTGTCATCGAACAATGTAGCTGCATAGTGATACACCTAGTATGTTCTCTATGTACACATCTCTACTTCCACCCCCCTATACATAAACAAAATTGTTCCGGCACAGCGGGCACGTGCTCTGGTTACTGCTCTTGAACCACCGGAATAGACACACCGAGTGGAAGGTATTCTTGCACGTCGCGCACCGCTTGTTCGGTGTTTGCATGTCCGTCGAAATGACCGAGTAGCAGATCGCACACTCGCTCTGTCCCTTGAGCGCACCCTGCACGTTCTTTCGGAACGCCAGCAGTCCGTCCACCAGGTTGCCGTTGGCAAACATGATCACCCCTTGGATGGTCAGCAACCAGCTGCGCCACTTCTTCTCGTCCACAAGCACACGGCTTCGACTCACAACCAACGCTGGCTGCAGTGGATAAGCCGGAGGAAGGGACAAAGACAATGCCACTGGTGGCGACTCTTCATCCACCGGGATGCTGGCAATGATCTCCGCAGTCTTGGGTGAGATCTTCACGTTCAGCGCCCGCTCTTCGTTCGGATCCTGGGTGGCTGTCCATTCAGTGACTCCCCGCAGCGAGTCCTCGATAACCAGAGGTGAGATCTAATGCAATGTTAGTTTACAATAGGGCAAGCAAGACATTCAGGCAGCTTACGAATTTCTCGGTCCAGGATTCCACCGGCCCCTTGATGCGCTTCTTCGTATCGAGCCACCAACTCTTGGTCACGTTGGCCAGGTGCCTCAAGCACAGGAAATACAAGTGCACAAGAAGCCATTGGATCTCCTTCTCAGCGCTCTCGGACTGATCGAGCTCAAAGGAGCGGATGTCAAACTTAGATGCATCCACCATCTTTCCGCCCGATCGCTGGAGGAAATCGAACATGAACTCCAAAAGTGGGCTGAGACTTTCGTTGTCCTTGATACTAGCCACGTAGTTTTCTTGTACAGTGAGAGACTGTACTGGTCAGCAAACCAGTCCTACAGCAAGGCATCAATACATACCGCATTTACGAAGTGGTCGAAAACCACTTTCCAGCTTAGCAGGTACGACCGTAGTTCGGCCCACATCCTGTCGTCGCCATAGGCGGCGTTGACCCCTTCCATGGTCGGTGCTTCGAGCAGCAGAGACATCAGCTCGTCAGGCAGTCCGACAGTCGTCTTCGACAGTGCCACGTCAAATGACACTTGCTCTTGCACGCTGGGGATGTACCGATGGAGGACGGTGTAGGCAGCGCGTTGCACCGCGGGGCTCTGCGATGTGATGAGCGGGAAGAACTTGCTCGCGTCCTCCAAGTGATCAACTGGGATAACATTGAGGAAGCGACACAACAGATCAACAGCCACATCTCGGGGTTGGTGGAAGGTGGTGGACGAATCTGCCCAGTCAGCATGTACCTGATAACCGTGTATCCAACACTTACCGAATTTCTGGAGCGTTGATGCCAAGCTATTGAAGAGTGCATTCTTCCGATCAGACCACGCATCTTTCACATCATCGTTACTCTCCTCGTCGCCTGCGATTGACTGAAGACGAGAAAAGAGTCTGAATGACGATAGCAGAGTAGGGATGGCTTCGTCGCTACCACCAGTCTCTTGCCATATGGTAATAAGAATATCCATACATTCCTCCCAGTGGGAGCCGTAGATTTCCTGTAGGTTAGGAAGCATCACTGCCAGGACTTGGAAAATCTCGGCCTTGATGCTCAGAGAAGTGCCCTCAGACTGAAGGCATTGAATGAGATGTTTGATTAGGAACACCAAGCGCTGTGTAGGAATGGAGGCTGCAACCTCTTCTTCTCCAGATAACAGGAGATTCAGAAGGACCAGCTTGCGAAGACCTAGTCTATATTAGCAAGTAGATTTACTGGGTAAAGGGGCCTCGACAAACCATCTTTGCTCTCTTCGGTTGGCTTCAACCCCGTGGAATCCGCCACAAACTCGTTACACAGTCGTGTGCCGGCGGGGTTGGAGAGCATGGCACTTCGTAGCACGGCCACCCAAGAGGCCGACCGAATGGCGTTCGCCTTTCGCATCTCCCTGCAAAGTTGCGTGACCTCTTCTGACGAACGACTCTTGTTTGACGAATCCACAGCTTCCATGATCTTCACAAACGCCAGCCCAATTTGGTAGTCTAACGGCGAAAGGGAGTCCAGCTTCTCGATCTGGCTTGTCCAGAATGTAGAAAGCAAAGAACCGACTGACTGTCCTTTACCGGCATTCAGTTTTTGCGACTGAGCCCAGCCATTCACGGCTTTTCGACCATCGCTGACTATTTCCATGTACTCCTCGCGCTGCTCGGGGTGTGAGATGCCGGTTATTCCATTGCAATTTTGGACGCTCAAGTCGTCATCAATAAGCTGCACTGTTAGGGGTACATTGTAGAACAGAGTCTCAAGCTCCTCGGTGTCCAGATGTTCGACAATATCGAATGAAGACAGGATCTTGATGGTGTAAAAGGCCAACCGGAACGCCGACGAGCAATTGTTGGAGTCGCGCGGAATACGTGCGTAGCGTTCCCGGAATGCGTTTGACACATTGCGATCAACGAGATGCACGGTACCGGCGAGCGGGCTGGTGACGGCCGCCGATAGCCGCGGAGGGAGCTCGAGGAAAGGCCCAAGGGAATTATCCCAAGATTGACGAGACGGCAGGATGTCCTTCGCTACTCTTCCGATGTCCGCGAAAGGGACATTCTGTAGCAGCTCTTCTGCGATGCTCAACATGGACTCGATGCTGGTACCGTTAGCTTCTTTTCTCTCTTCTCGTTGGGTCACGACTTACGAAAGTGACATTTGGTTCACATTGTCGAACTGGTGCTGCAGGATCTCAAAGCTCGATTTGGCGCTTGTCTCACTGACGACTGAGTCTTTCACGGTCTTGGACAGCGACTCCGCGAGACTGGCTATCTCTTCATCCGACGACTCGGTGAGGAACAGCAGTTTACCAGACAACTTTGAGCCGTGCTCTCCGCTCTGAAAGTTTCTGACAGCACTGGGGACCGAGCTGGAGATGCGAGAAAGTCCATGCAAAGTGTCAAATACCTTGCTCTCTTCAGAGAGGGCATCCACAATAGACAGGAAAATCGAGTCCGTCAATTGCCCATGAGAGGTATGGTTCTGTAGCACGGCAATAACAATAGACCAGTGAAGGTCGCTGCCTTTGCAGGCTTGGTCTAGGGCCCTCATGACCAAAGAAACCAGTCCACTCTTGTCGCCTAGCTCCTGGAAATCAAGAGTGGAAAGAAGCTTCTGAACAGCATGTATATTTGAAGACTCTGGATCTGACTGTGCCACACGCTCGACGACCTTCTCGAAGCTAGGTCCGAACCCTTCCCAAGATCGGCAAGACATGATAATGGATACCAATCGATCAGCGGATGGCGATGCCAAGAGCTCAGGCGCATCCTCTTGAACAAAGTTCAACAACGACTGCGAGCCTTGCGCGATTTGCGGGACTTTGCGTACTATTTCTTCCACGACCGCAGCCGCTCCATAAGGCTTACCATTTCTGGAGCGCAACACCTCCAGGCAATTATCGAGTAACTTTAGGCCTGTATTCCTGAATACATCCAGAATGCTTGTCTCATGGGCAGTATCATGCAAACGCGAAAGCAACAAGGCTTCCAAGGAGAATAGACGCTCAGCCTCCACACATACTGCGTCCTGTGAGGACTTGAAGTCCTTGGACTGCTCTGGTGATGACAGCTTTACGGCCTCGAGTAGGCCATCGGCCAACTTTGTCCACAGCTGCTCGACCACCGCTTTGTAGCCTTTCGTTGTCACTGCAACGAGACAATTCGTGCAGATAGATTCCGCTGACGAAGCGGGAAGATTCCACTGAAGACGATCTTGTTCAGGCTCGACATATTGCAATATCAATGGAGCAAGCCTGTCCTGCAAGAATTTCTCCCTATCCTCCTCAGAAAGCCGATGCGCAAGCCACATCGAAGTGTCAATGTAGGCCTTCCAACCAACCGCACGATTCTGCCGAGGTTCATCCCTAGAAGTGAGTCCTTCCTGGAACGACACTGTTAGTGCAACCGCACTAGACAGTCCAAGAGAATCGGATGTAGATTGCGAGTCAATCTTGGCCAGTGTTTCGAAAGGAATCGTCTGGAGTAATTGGCAAAGATTTGGCCAGAAGGAGCTTGTGCCGCTTTGTGAACCTTTCTGTATGTATTGAAGAAGTCTCTTGGAAGGAGATGACTTCCCAGAATAGTCCTCTGTCCATAGTTGCGGTCTTGCAGACGTTACCCGCAAAATCGTTTCGGAAAGCTCTGATGCGGAGCCAAGTTGGGGACTGTGCAAAGCCTTGCCAATTAAGGCAGCACTGATGAGCTTCCAATCGAGCTCCTCAGGCTCTTTAGACACAGCTGATCGAGTAAGGATGTAGAGCGATTTGCGCACAAAAGGGTCGTCGTGATAAGAAAGTGCCCATAGAGATTTGCTGCATAAGAGAGTTTCGATGGTCGGCAGATCCTTCTGCAGATCTTCATGGGTCGAGTGTCCTGCAGATGCTTTAGTTAAGATGTTAGGAACAAAATGGATCTCTGCTTACCTAGAACTCTGTTGAACAACAAAAGCGCAGTACCAGCTACACGCGCATACTTTGCTTCTGCATCGTCAGGCTTGACCGTTCGCTCATCGCTCAATGTCAGAGCAGTCTGCTGCAGGATGACATCATCCACAAATTCTAGGATAGCGCTCTGGTAGACCTTCCACACGCCGCTTCTCTTCTCGTCGGTTGAAAAGACGCA